CTGATGTCTGTGTAACCTTGATAAGCTGGCGGCCCGTAATCCACTCGTGGTGGGATACGCGGCTCTTTATCCAGATTTGAAGGGGGCGCATGTGCAGGAGACCCAGTTGTAGCACAGTGGAGGCTGAGGCCATATAACCTTGCCTCCTCTGAAAAGATTTCAGGGGTGTGTGGGTACCCATCCGAAAAGAGGCGGCTAGACGCTGAACACGGCGCGTGCACTGTGTGGATAAGCGAGCCTTCATTGTGATAGAGTTCAAATCTATTCCCATGAAGGAAATAGTTTGACTGGGCTGGAGAGAGCTCTTTGTCAAGTTGACAGAGAGTCCCAGCGCTTTCAGATGGTTGAACTGCGCGGTGCGATAGAAGCTCCGTCTGGGATTATGTGCTAGAATCAGCCAGTCTTCCAGATAGTTTAGTATGCGCAGCCCCTGACTCCACAGGGGGGCGAGCGCTGTATCCATGCACTTCGTGAAAGTACGGGGTGCTAAGGATAGGCCGAACGGGAGAACGGCGTATTGATAAACTTGACCCTCGAAGGCGAAACGTAAGAATGGCCTGTGACGAGGATTTATCTGGATCTGAAAATAAGCGTCTTTCAGGTCTAGAGAGATGAACCAGTCCCTCTGGCGCACGTGCGCGAGGAGTTTCTTGACTGTAAGCATTTTGAACGGTCTCCTCATGAGCGTTTTGTTCAAAAGCCTGAGATCTAAGATCGGCCTGAGGCCGCTGTCTTTCTTGGGCACAAGACTGGGCGCCGAACTGTAAGGGGGGCAGCCTACGAACTCCTGAGTGAGTCTTGAAGCTGACTTCTGCTGATAAAATGGCAAACTACGTTCAGTAAAACTTTCTTTAATTTTTTATAATTCTGAGTTCGGGTCTTCATTCTTCATATCTGGTTCTGGGTCCTTAACTGTTAATCCCTAACAGTTTGGTTAGAAAATAACGGCCGTAAAACCCCGACTCGGTCCTAGATGGCGGAACTCTCTCTATTGCGCCTTTCTGCAGCAGCTTCGCTATTTCTGAGCGGAGCGTGCTAAGAGCTGCTAGGCTGACAGCGGATTCGAGCCGAACGCGAGAACGGGGCAGGCGGCGATTAAACTGTAATAGGTAGTCGTTCTGTATAATGCTTAGAACCCACGGGGAAATGCCGGGGATGGCCTCCCACGCTTTGAAGCATGCGGCTAGCGGCTGGATAGCAATGTTGCCCTGATTGCTGCACATAGCGGGCTGGACACTGTGTGTGGGCACACTTAGAGTGTGTGTGGCAACGGGAATTGCACTCAGAGAGGAGTTTATAAGCCGTGAGACAGAGCGAGCAGAGAGGGGACACGCGCATGGGCTCGTGGGCGTGCTTATGTTTTCTGCTACTAGAGCGGGCTGTGGCACATTTTTTACACCTGAGGCTTTTATGCTCTTTTTTTGTGAACTCTCTGGGTAGCCGTAAAAACGGCTTTTTGTCGCTCGCAAGCGGGCAGGGAGACCGGCTTGTTTGTGGCGGTGAGCACTGCTGCAGTGGGCGAGGTGTCGGGGACTAGCAGAGGACGAAGCTTTGACGGTGGTCCGGTCGCAGCGGGAGAAGGCCGCCTTTTTCTCAGCTGTGCTAGGCAGATTTTTGCTGATCAGGCTTCAGCGTGATCTTGGGTCGAGGCGGCTGTCTGCGGCGGCTGTCAGAGCGAGGGCGGCCGCCCGTCTACGCTGGGGTTGATTAGCCTGCTGAGGCGGGCGCTGTTGCGGGGTTCTGGCAGGAGGCTCGCGAGAACGGCCTGCAGATGTGCTGGCGTGGCGGGGCAGGAACAAGTTCATGGCCTGGGTGGCTTTCTGTACCTCGGAGAAGCGGTCAACGATACCCGTGACGGCAGATCCGAAGAGGCCGGTCGGGGAGATAGGCGCATTGAGGAGTCTCTCATGTCGGCGAGCGTGAGCCATAAGTGTCTCTCAGCAACACAGAGGGCGGCCATACATCTCCCCAGGGCTTGTGCGGCAGCTTTGGTGGCGCGAAGGGAGAGGTCCTTAAATCAGTAAGGATGGGCGGGTTCCTACCGCTCCTCGGCATCTCGCACAAGATGTCGCTCTGTAGCACTTGGAGGACAGACATGGAGTGCAGCGCTGAGGCGGCCTGTCCGGCTGCGGCGTGAGCGTGAAAAGTGGAGGTCACTCTGCACGCTTTCGAAGGAAGCGTAGGGGCAGAACGCCATCTAGCAGAGGGCGGGCAGAGGTGAGCGACCAGGTCCTCGACGGGCGGCATAGCTGTATATCCTTTCTCGGCGACTTTGTCCACCGAGCGCAGCGAGGCCACTCGGCGGCAACTGCATGTCCGGCTGGGGCGGAGAGGGAGAGCGGTCGGTGGGCGGCAACGGCGGCCCGCATAGATCCGCAGGGGGCTCCGGCGGCCTCTGGGAGTGGCATTTCTTCCGCGGCGAAGTGAGAGGCGGCGTCGTGCCCGCAGGGAAGACAAAGGCAGGTCCTCGCAGTGGTTGCATCCTCCGTTGGCGAGGGCGAGCTCTGCGTGCTCCAGTCCGAGGCAGAGAGCGCAAATGGGGTGGCGATCTCCGTCCTTGAAATGCATTTTGTTGTATATTTGGAGTGTTTATGAGTACAGAAAAGATGAAATTATTCTCTTCAGGTGCTTTGTTTATATCTTTATATTCTGTTTTGGTCATTTTTCAACCTGTTCAGATTTTTCTGTTTGCTATGACGTTTTTTGAATTACAACGTCACCGTATTTGCAGCGGAACTGCCAAATAAGGACATTGACTACCGGTCCAACACTTTGAGCAATCCGCCATTATTATTTCTCGCTCCGATTTTGTAGTCCGAGCTCAATGATGCAGAAGTTACAAGAGGGCAAGTCAAAATGTTCGGTTTTTGGATGTAGTGACCTGAAGCACTTCAAGGATTCCCACTTCAACAACCTCCGCCAGTATAAAGAAGGGTTTGCCGATTGACTTCGTCTGAATGAGAGGTAAATTCCTTCTATCTTTGGAGACTATTATTATTAGTATTATTATTTATACGACTATTTGGGCACTTTTGGGGCCCTTAACGTGCTCGAACTCTTGAAACTTTGCACACAGCTCAGAACCCGCGGCCATCAGGGGTGAAGATGGTACCCGGGCGTGGCAGGGGGGCTAGACAGCGCCCCCTGAAACTGGTGCCGAAAACTTGGCCCATAAATCAAACACGCTTGCATGTAATAATATGAAACTCGGTACACATATAGATCTCATTGTTCATATATCCTTCATACTATTACTTTTTACCCCAGCCCAACAGGAAGTCGGTTATGTAGGGTTGTTCGTAAAACACACGCAATGGAATTTGAAATACTCCTCCTAGAGAATTCAAACACACGGCACGAAACTCGGTCAGCATGAAGTCAAGACATTGAGGATGAAAGTTTGCGAGGGGGTTTTTTATATCTCAAACGGTTTGGCCGTGGCGAGGAAACGAAATTATGGCGAGAAACGTGAAACAGGAAGTGTGTTGTAACTTCAGCATACATTAACTGATCTTGATGAAACTTCAGCAGTTTGTTCGCTGTAAGAGGACGATCACATGGATGTGACTATTGTGAGTCAAAGTTATAGCGCCACCAACTGACAGCAGGAAGTGTGTCCCTTTCAAAATGCTTTGAAATCACCCTCTTATTTTTCCCCGATTTGCTTCAACCTTCATCTCTATAATGTAAATACAAAGCAGATGAAGACCTGTGAATGGATTCTTAATATCTTTGAAACTGTTGCCGTGGCAACGCTTCAAACTTTGAAATTATTTTAGGATGCTTTTGAGACTCTTAGCATGCTTGAAATTGCATGAAACTCAACAGACACGTCATATTTATTAGCCAGTAGACATGTGCAAAGTTTCAGAAACGGGCATGGTGCAAGGACTAAATTGCGCCACCTTTTGACAAAAGTGGTGTTGTTAGTTTTATCTGCAGTTACAAAAATCAGTATATACATTGTACTCCTCAAGCCGGACAACTTTCTAATACATAGTCATTAGCTCGGACCAAGAGGAAGTCAGATATTTTGGTTTGAATGTGGTGAACCTCTCTCTAAGCCTACGTCCCTGTATGGCAAGCCCTTTTAACATTTAAAAGCTAAGTTTGCCTATCCGGAATTAACATTGTAGATATCAACAACGTCTTTCTGTCTAGTCTTAATTACATTTTGGATAGTTTGTATTATCATTTAAGATATCTGTAACATAATTGTGACTAGTCGAAATGACAGAGTATGGCAAGCCTTTTAATCATGCATTTAATCTAACATTTAATCATGAAAGGGCCAAAGCCTTCAGCATTGCCACCGCGATTCACTAAACACCGGCTTGGGCCCACCATCGCTGCTCGCAGCTATATTTGTTCTTGAGTTTCATCAATGGTCATTTAGCTGCGTTGTTTTCTGATGCTTTTCTAAATGTATCATATTGTCAATACAGATTTTTTTGTGGTAAGATTAGACCGTAGTCATTTATCTTGTCTGTGTGCTTGTTTTAACAAGAGAAATAGTCGACTTTCACTAATAACACAAATCAGTTAACTCACATACCAATACATCCATATGAAGAAGAGGTTGTTCTGCAGGATCGTCATCGTCTTTATCAACTCGCTCGCTCTGGCTCGAATATGTAAGGCTTGATGGACAAGTCTTCTGTTGTTGACATTTTATTAACGTGTGAATAAAAATGTTCTTTGAAGGTATAGTATATAATCGTATATCTCTAATCAAACTACAATAATTAAACTTAAAAGTCCCATGTTATGCAAAGAACACCAAAAAAAAAAGGTTTTTTTTTTATTGGTATTTTATTGCAAAAAAAATAATCTGGCATTTAATTCAATGTTTAGAATACACATAATTATTAATTAAAATCTGTTTGGTATTCAACTAAATTCAATCTTTTGCTGGAAGTGTCTCCTAGTCTCTCTTTATTAAGGGGACAATGGTTTAATTTGCAGGTATAGAAGCTGTTGTAATGTCTGTCTTTTGCTCCTTGTTTGCATGTTTTAGGTGAGAAACTGGTGTTGTTGAAGTCTCGCTTGCAAGAAGCCATGGCCATTCGCAGAAAGGAGGAGAGAGAGCGCAGAGCGGCTTTGCATCGTCTTGATAATGAGGATTGTGGCGACGAGGAGGAGGAGGAGGAGATGACTGAGTCAGAGGATGAAGAGGTACTATAAATACATCAATATATTTCAGCGTTTCCCCTACCATTGATAAAGAATAACAAAAAAAAAAAAATATATATATATATATATATATATATATATATACATTAAAAAAATATTTTAAACGTATGCACCATTATTTAAGAGGACAGAATTGCCGAATCCAGTCATAAAAGTGGAATTTGTAAAAAAAAATTGTGATAAATAAATAAAAAGCAGTTCTGTATACTTGAAATCAAATCGCGATATTGACTAGAGTGAATATTAAACTGCAAAAATAATATTGAAATACAAGTCCTGCATGTTCTGTGTGAATGACTGGTGCAGACAACACGCAGTTTCATTTACAGACATGAAAATCACTCACCTTACGGCAAAATTCGCTGTTTTGAAACCAAAATAAGTGACCTACGTGAATCGTGTAGATTCGATGAGAGAATATTTGGAGGGAGGGGGGGGTGGTATAAACCATACATATATGTGAATCCATACTAAAGTATTATGTGAGATAGAAATTAATAATTAAGTCATTAAATTCAAGTTCACGTAAACTTTTCCCTCTGCTTTGGCTGTCAGTCATTCTCCATTCAGCATTCAAACAGTACAGCGCGTCGTCAGTCATTGAGCATTCAAACAGCGCAGCGCGTCGCGTTCAGCAACCATGAAACTCTCTCCAAGATGATTAAATGTTAATATTATTATACTTGATCTGCAGATAAAGCTCTGGTTTCGCATAAATTGACTATCTTGCTGAGGTACCTCAATTATGTTCCTTCACCACATACAGTCGTGCTCAGAATTAATGGGACCCCTGGTAAATATGATAAACTGGCTGTAAAAAATAATTCTTCATTGTTTATCCTTTTGATCTTCCATTCAAAAAAATTGGCAAAATTTCATTTAAGCAAAAGAATTGAAAGTGGGGGTAAATCACACTATGAAAGAAATGTTTTTCTCAAACACTCTGGCCATAATTGTTGGCACCCTGTTATTAAAAACTTTTTGCAACCTCAGATCTGTAAACTTTTGCCAAGATAACAGATGGCAGAAGCTTCATTTTGTGCTCTGTAACTAACTTTTGTGTTGATTTTTGTTTTGGATCGTTGTCCTGATGGAAGATCCAACCACGGCCCATTATAAGATTTCTAGCAGAAGGCGTAAGATTTTTATTTTTTATCTTTTTGTATTTGATAGAATCCATAATACCATGTATCTGAACAAGATGTCCAGGACCTCCAGCAAATAAATAGGCCCACAACATACAAGATCCAGCAGTATATTTAACCGTAGGCATGGGGTACTCTTCATCCCTGTTTGCACCAAACACATCTGCTGGGTTTGCGGCCAAAAAGCCCCTTTTTTAGTTTCATCTGACCACAGAACCCTGTGCCGTTTGGAGATCCAGTCGTGTCTGACACCTGAATATGCCGGAGTTTGTTTTTGGAGGAGCGAGGAGCATTTTTCTTGAAACCCTCTCAAACAACATGTGGGGATGTAGGGGTTGTCTTTTTTTTTTTTTTTTTTTTTTTTTTTTAGGTTTTCTGACCCCAAGACTCAACTAATCTCTGCAATTCTCCATCTGTGATCCTTGAAGAGTCTTTGGACACTCAAACTTTCATCCTCACCGTCCATTAAGGCAAAATAGACACACGTCCTCTTCCTGGCATAATCATAACATCTTTGGTTGATTATAACTTCTTAATTATTGTCCTGATGGTCAAAATGGGGATTTTCAATTCTTTAGCTATTTTCTTACATCCACTTTCTATTTTGTGAAGCTCAACAATCTTTTGACGCACATGAGAACCATGTTCTTTGGTTTTATTCATTGTGATGGATGATTCAGGGAATTTGACCTTTGTGCTTCCTCATATTCAAACTCCTTGAAACAAGAAGTCATAGCTGGACAATTTCATGTTCCTAGTCACCCTGATGTGCTTAAAAAAATTAATATTAATGGGAATGTACTTCAGAGATATTTTTCTCATAAAAAATTCTAGGGGTGCCAACAATTATGACCAGAGTGTTTTGGAGAAAAACATTTATTTCATAGTGTGATTTATCCCCACTTTCAATTCTTTTGCTTCAATGAAAGGTTAGAATTTTGCCAATTTTTTGAATGGAAGATCAAAAGGATAAACAATGCAGAATGCAATCCAGTTTTCATCATATTTACCAGGGGTCCCATTAATTCTGAGCACGACTGTATCTAGATCACAACAATGGAGAGCACTAGCATTGTTCTTCACGCGCACAGTAACTAAAATTTAAAATTGTTTAAAGAAAAGGCTCAATAAACTATTGCATAGATAGATAGATACTGTATAATACACTATGCATCGATATGTATTTCCTTTTTGCTTTGAACTGTTCAGTGGCAGCAAGGGATAGGTAGGAAATTATTCAGGGCTCGACATTAAAGAGATAGTTCACAAATTACTTTTTTTTATGTATGTTTTAGCTTACCTCAAGGGCATCCAAGATGTAGGTGTCTTTGTTTCCACAGTATTTTCAATATTTTTAGGTCAAACCGCGAATAGTCCGTGGAGGTAGGATAGTCCACGAAGTGTCCATTTATGTATCCTTCCTTTCACGGGGAAACGAAGGGTGCATTTGGCGTCGCTTTTGAATAAGGTAAGCCTTCGTCGCGCTGCAATGACGCAACCGGCCTTCGAATACGGCCTTCGGAGGATGCATAACTGAATTGGGACAGCCTTCATCCCACCGCGATGACGCAATCGGCCTTTAAATGCGGCCTTCGCGGATGCAGCCTTTGAATTGGGACGTCCTTCGTCGCGCGGCTGTGACGCAATCGGCCTTCAAATCTGGCCAAGCGTCCTTCAAATACGGACTTCGGAGGATGCAGCCTTCACATTGGGACACAGCTATTGATTCATTAATTAAAACGATTCGTTCAAATGGTTGATTCATTCAAGAATGAGACAGATGTTTATGAATGGGTCATTGAATCTTTGACTCAACTGATTCGTTCAAAATGCTGAATCATTCAGTATTGAAAACAGGATGAGTTCCTGTGATATGCGTCGTGGTTCTGCTGTGACTTTTCTTTGGAACTATTTTCGCTGCTGAAATGGAACAAAAACACCCAATATTGCTTATAAAAAGTAAGTGACTTAATCTTAACTGTTTATTGAACTGTTGTAGGAAATCAATGTCACCTTTTCAATCGTGATGGTATTCAGGAAAAATAATTGAGGCTGCTTAACATATGTTAAAACATAAAAACTCCACATTTAGATTTTTTATAGGTAGTATGTTGTTAACTGTGTGCGCTCCGCTCATGTGTGTAGATTTCTCTGCGCGAGCGTCAACAGCGCAACTTTAATTCTAATCAGTCTACTTTTCCGTCAGGGCGAGTACAATTCTCTTTTACTTGTCCTTCAAAAATCCATTTGTCGCGGACAAGTTAGACGGGCTCTGAGTCTGGAGATACGAACCGCGGCAGGTTAGAGTGTTTTGGATTGCATAAAATAATAAAAGAAACGAACAAATACATGCCGAAAGAAGTGGTAGACAGCAGAAGAGGGGATTGGGATTGGGATTTGGGTTGATTTTTAATAAAACTAGGCGGATGGAGGTATTAGTATGAGGTGTGTGCATGCCTAATGCATGTATTTGTATGTGTACGAATATGAATAAATGTATCCTAAATGACAAAAAAAGACTTGTATAATATGTATTATAGTTCAGTTTGACGAACGATATGTGAACGATATCTGCCTCTTTGTTAATAGCATTGCTAAAGGACAACATGCATCTTGCATCACGTGCTATAAAAAGACGGTGGTGTACAAAAAACGTAAATTTATAGTTCGCCTCAAAGTATTTTATTTGTGTATTTATTTAATTTTTATTATTTCTTCCCCAAGCTCATAAAATAAATTTGGGTCGCACATAAATTGACAGGGTCGGTTGGAAACCGCAAACAAACAATTTTTTTTTTATGCCTAATCATATCATAATACTTTTGCGCAATGAAAGATTTATAGTATTTTTTTGTTCTGTCCTATCTATCGTATGTTGCTGCCTCATTAAACAGCTGTGCTATACATTTGTGCTATATTTATTTTCTTAATTTTATAGTAGACTATAAAATAATTTATATTTTTGATTTTTATCTTGTTTTTCGCTCTTTGTATTTTACAACAATACAAAGAGCAATGTGTGACGTTTTACTAGATTTAGTGCTACACTTATTGGCTCTTTTTTGTTCCCCACTATTTATTTTTTTCACTGAATGTTCTAATTTTATAAAATTATTTTTTCTAGACTAAATTTTTAGATAAGAGTTACACACTAATCTAGTTTATATTATAATATTTGTCATTGGTTATGATCATATTTTTTGTTGTTGTTTTTCTTTATAAGGAAGTTGTCTGTATTAAGTAGATTGTGTTTAACACACAAAAGAGTGATTATCAGTTCAACACACAGTTATAGAAATTCTACTTTATTTATTTATTTATTTTTTACCGCGTTGGTAATGGATCTGTATCGGTCTCTTTTTTTTAAATTATTATTATTAGCTAACGCTACGGAGGCCATAATATTTTTGACTCGTGGTTGGCAAAAAATGCATCTTAAAATGCATCAGATTGATGCTTTAAAATATTTTCAATTTTCTTGCCCCCCGGACCCCCCTAGAGGGGTAATATCCTACTCACCTTTTTCACCCCTGACCTGTTTTCATGCCTGCATTTAACTCACACACACACACACACACACACACACACACACACAGTCACGAATGATGCTTGCACTGTTTTTTGACTAATATGAGGACATGAGTGCATGAGCTTCATCTCCAGACTCCAGATCCGCTCTGGGGTGCGTTTCCCGAAAGCATCGTTACCCAACTATGGTCGCAAGTTCCGTCGTTACCAATAGAGTTCAATGGAAATTGCGACCAACTTGCGACCATAGTTGGCTAACGACGCTTTCGGGAAACGCACCCCTGAAAGTCACTTTGTGAGCATTTGTCACGTCATAAACGCACGTAAACTGAAAGGTCTTCACGGGAACCCATCAAAGTAAGCTCAGTTTAGCTTTACAGAAATATATTACTTTTGTACAGTAGAATTTAGATATGGCTCAGTGATAAAATAATACGAACACTAATACAAATACATTTTGTAACTTTGATTGTAAGGAGTAATACATTTTTCTTCCTGCACGTTTTTTGGCAAAAAGTTTGTTTAATTGCATGTGATTTAAAAGAAGTTAAATTTAAAAAAATTCTAAAAGTATAATATAATATAAAAGTATTCGTAACACGCTCTGGGTCACTAGTAGTTCACTACAACAACCCACCCCCCCCCCCCCCCGTTTCTGCCTGAATTATCTCAATTCATAGTCATCTTTATAAAAAGTTTGCTCCATTCCTCTTCAGGGTGTTGATGAACTGTTGGGGGGTGGTGATGATGAAGAGGAGGCATTGGACAAGGAGGAAGGGGAAGATGACGTTTCGGTGAAAACGTGCCCGTCTCCAGGCTTCAAGAGCGGCTCTCCGGCCCCTGCAGACACTGATGGAACATTAATGCTGTTTGCCGGAAGCTCCTGTTCCCGGACAGGGTGTGTGTTCGCTTCACTATCCAGCTGCAACACACACTCTACAGTCCACACTAATGTAATGTCTTCTGTCCAGGGATGGTGTGAGAAGATCAGGAGCTGCTGGCAACGAAGCATACAATAAAATGGGTGAGTGAATATGGATATTAAGCACCCTCATCTTGGGTTGAAAACATTGATTTCTTAATTTTAATCTATTCTCATTTTGACGAACCGATATTGATTCTAGATTGAATCCCAAGAATCAAAGTCTGTGTTTTGCATGAACAAATCTTCACTGAACATTATTCGTAGCTCCTGCCATCCACGAATCACAATAAGCCTCCATACTTTTGATATGAAACAAAGTCTCAGCTTTCAAATCCTGTCAGTTTTATTTATAAGTTCAAGCAATAAATGTGTGTTTGTGTCTCTTTGATGTAGCGCCTCAATTGAACCGATCATCTCTTCCTCTTTACTAGTTTACAGCAGCAAATAAACAGTGAACATCAGAAGGAATGTGGAAAGATACAGAATAACTTCCTGAAATCAATTATGTGTCATGTATTTGATGTATACCAAAATTAATATCGCAATTGTTAACAAATTGAATCACAGTCTTCTGGGTTCGTACTTTAAATCCATGAATTACTCTTTTTAAAATGTAAGTCCTGGAAAACCCTTGAAAACAGCCATATTTACGTAGAGGTACTTGAAAAGTGCTTGACTTGTTTAAATATATATTTATAGATGAAAATTAATTATTCTGAAAAAGCACAAATGCAATACTGGAGTGCAAAATTAATTGATAAACCAGACCTTTTTTCGTTACGAAGTACACCAACATTATAATATTATTTATTGAACAATAATAGATTATAAACTTTGAATTTTATACCTTCCTAGTTGTATTTTGTATACGATATATATCTGTGGTTTTTGAGTTAAAAAAAATTAACTTTAGATTGTTTGATAAGTGTGATCTCTGGTTGTAGTTTTTGAAAACCAAAAAATTCAAGGAATTTCTTGTTACCATATCTATACCAACCCTGAGTCTTGTGAATCGAAATGAATCATGAAGTTTGTCACCCTAACCCTAGTTATATATGAAGCGCATGTGAATCCGACTGATTGTGTGTTCTCCACAGAGGAGGATGACGCCCTGTCATTGGCGAAGGACAGCAGCCACAACAGTAGCTTCGAGCTGATGGCTTCGATGATCCCATCCTACCAGCCGGTGAGCAGAGCAGCCGGGCGAGGCCTGTCCCACAGTGTGTTTCGCTCTCCCTCTCCCTGCCTCTTCCGGCCCAGCTTCCTCGGCTCCGCCTCCAAGGTGAGCCACTTGCTACACTTATGGCTCGTTTCCACCGAGTGGTACAGTACAGTTCTGGCCGTGTGACAAAAACACCCAATATTGCTTATAAAAAGTAAGTGACTTAATCTTAACTTTTTATTGAACTGTTGTAGGAAATCAATGTCACTTTTTCAATCGTGATGGTATTCAGGAAAAGTAATTGAGGCTGCTTAACATATGTTAAAATATAAAAACTCCACATTTAGATTTTTTATAGGTAGTATGTTGTTAACTGTGTGTGCTCTCCGCTCGTGTGTAGATTTCTCTGCGCGAGCGTCAACAGCGCAACCTTACCATCAGTAAAACAGCAGGCCTACATTTATTATCCACAATCGATCGCAACTTGCAATAAATGTAATAAAATCAGAATCATTCTCTCGGTTTATAAATTCCCTAGTTATTTATTTATTTATTTTTGTTATTGATGTTCTAATCAGTCTACTTATCCATCAGGGCGAGTACAATTCTCTTTTACTTGTCCTTCAAAAATCCATTTGTCCCGGACAAGCGGACAAGTTAGATGGGCTCTGAGTCTGGAGATACGAACCGCGGCAGGTTAGAGTGTTTTGGATTGCATAAAATAATAAAAGAAACGAACAAATACATGGCGAAAGAAGTGGTAGACAGCAGAAGAGGGGATTGGGATCATGATTGGAAATTTTGGGATGATTTTTAATAAAACTAGGCGGATGGAGGTATTAGTATGTGGTGTGTGCATGAATAAAAGTATCCTAAATGACAAAAAAAAGACTTGTATAATATATATTATAGTTCAATTTGACGAACGATATCTGCCTCGTTTGTTAATAGCATTGCTGGAGGACAAGATGCATCTTGCATCGTGTGCTATAAAAAGACGGTGCTGTACAAAAACGTAAATTTATAGTTCGCCTCAAAGTTTTTTATTTGTGTATTTATTTAATTTTTATTATTTCTTCTACAAGCTCATAAATTAAATTTGGCTCGCACATAAATTGACAGGGTCGATTGGAAACCGGAAACAAACACATTTTGTTTTTATACCTTATTAAAGCTGAAGTTATTCATTCAAGAGCTTTGCCTTCTGTTGTTTTATTCTCAGTAATGTCGCAATCGTCACATGTTTATACTGCTGCCCCTTTAAGAACGAGTGCAGATTTCATATCTACTGATGCACCATATTTTCTCCCAACTATTTCCATAACTATGTTCATTTTAGACATAAATGGTTTAAGTGTTAATCTCCAAGCTGGTCGTTTGGACATTTTCATGCAGGCTACATTTGATCGTTTAGACGCGCATATGAAGCCCAGAGTATGCTTATCTTGTTGCGGTCTTTTTCGGAGCGCGCGCCGCACTGGGAAAAGCATCTCTTGCGCAAATTTTGTGCTTTTAATAGCTCTTTTTATTATTAAAAGCATCCCGCAATTTAGCAACAGCAGAGACTGCATTTTACAACAATCACCGATCGTGCTGAATCTGCTGATTCTGTCTTAAAGTTTGAGTTTTAAGGAGAAATGACCATCGCACCGCTGCAATGGGAAGGAAGTTGGCTAGACAGAATGCGGCTATTATTTTTGATGTTTTTTTAACCTCAATATATTATTTAATCTTTGGAAATCAGACTAATATCACAGATCTAAAGTGTAACCCGGCTATGTTTGAATGTTTAGTTCTGTCCTCTCTCGTCACTCATTAAGCAGGGCTGTCGTGTTGTGCTTGCTGTGGCACAGCGTGAGAGATCTCTCTCTTTCTCTTCTGGACTGCGAATTGCAAACATGCATCACAGACAAATAGTTTAAAATAAAACGGCTTTAGAAACATTGCATTTTGCTGTCTTGCTCTGCTGCGGTGTTTCCAGTGTGAAGTATTTCCACACAGCGAACATGTTGGTAGCTCAATGCTATCCTGCTAGCTGGCTGCAAACTGCGGAATGGATACATTGAGCCCCTCTTTTTTTTACAGTCTATGAGCTGCACCTCTGTTCAGGATATCCATTCCACAGTTTGCAGCCAGCTAGCATACTAGCAGGCCCGGCGGGAATCACTTTTCAGTAGGGATGCACCGAAATGAAAATTCTTGGCCGAAACCGAAAAAAGAGGAAACCAAGGCCGAAAACCGAAACACCGAAAGAATTATTAGTATTATTGCATTTATGGCTATGACTGTGTACAAACTTTACTAAAATCAAGGCATTGCAATTGCATTGATTCCCCCAAACACCCTGTTCTCACTAGGCTACTATCTTAATGTAAAGAGTCATTTCTTGTGACTTCCTTTGATAAGCAAGCATACTACATCATAGAAAGTGCTGGGAATATTTAATTTTTCATCTTGTTTTATTTCAGACTATAACGAGTGTAAATAAGGTGTGGCCCCTTTGAGATGCGCGCTCCCTGTTGAATTGTCTGCAGTGTTATATGTGCGCCTCAAACCCCCCATGTGTGCGGGTAATTTCTGTTTGATGCTAATTCTTTTATCTTATGTTGTTTATTAAGTAATGATGTGACGGTAGAACGTGTGACAGACAGTTATACGAGTTCGATTTGTGAGATGTCAATCGCCTCCGTGAGTCTGTCTGGCGTCTGCAATAACTTCAGCTGTGAGCTATCCCGTCGCGTAAATGCGTCACTTCATAACGTTCCCATGGAAACAGGGGAAAATGGCTGCTCTTGTGTGAAGCAAACACAACATTTTATAAAATTATTGTGCACTTGTGATATTTCTAGTTGAAGTTTTGCTGAGTTATCCACTAATCTAAGTTTACAATAGCATTTTTGTCATAGGTTATGGTCATATATTTTTTTTTAATTTGTTGTTTTTCTTTACAATGAAGTTGTCTGTATTAAGTAGATTGTTTAACACACAAAAGATTGTGGTTTTTAGGGTTTTATTTAGTTATAATAAACAAAAAAAATGAAATACATTTTTTATCCGATTAATCGAAAAAATAATCGTCCGATTAATCGATTATCAAAATAATCGTTAGTTGCAGCCCTACATTAATCTATAATTCGTTCCCTGGCCAATAGTTTGGACAGAAGGCTAGAGGTTGACCGAAATGTTTTGTTTTTTTTTCACACCGATACCGATCTTTTGAAATAATGCTGCCGATTTATTTTTGAAATATCGGGTCGGCCGATATTTGCTTGGTTTTTAACCTCTATTTGAAAGATAAAATGTAAAAGAAATGATAATTACTTAAAGGCACTCTATGCAAGATCTGTACCTTAATATAACAGCTTCAAAGTCGTTTCAGTGGTTAACAAAGTCCTAGTAGGGCGAATCATCGTAAAGAAGCAGAGTGGTGTTTTATGACATATTTCGTTTTATTGTTGCCTAAAATGTACATACAGAGATAACCGGAGTAGTAGATCGTTCAAGAACGCGCTGTTCCATTAACAGAATTACTGGACTCGCGTCCTCGGGATCATTCTCCTGAGTCGGACTTTGCGTAGGCTACTTGGTATTGAGAAACGCCTAATGCCAGCGCTTGTTTCTTGTGACAAACATGCCGAGAAGCAAGAACAAGATCTGCTGTCTGTCATCCATTGCTGTTTACTATGTCGCTTTCTTCGCGCAAAAATGACGTGGGTCGCTTCTCTCCAGCAAACACCACACCTATCAAGTAAGAGTAATGTTGGCTTTGGAAACGCAAGCCAGATCATGGCGTACCGACCCGTACTGTATTGTACTGTACCGTACCCCTCTGTGGAAACGAGCCATTAAGTGGGACTTAAAGGTTCTCTAAGCGATGTGGGGCCAAAACATTTTTTGTCACATACGTCAAACGTCTCCTCACTATCGGCTAGCTATCTGTCCCCTAAACACACTGTAAAAAAAAGCGGTCTCTGTAGACACCACAGGCTCCACAAACGGCAACAAAAACAACCTAACAAACAGTGTTCCAGCCAATCACTGGCAGCAAGTATTTGAGGGTGGGTCTGGGGGGTTAGTGCACGTGCACATGAAGGGGGTGTGTGTGTGTGAAGGAGAGCGAAGCATCAGAGGGAAGTTTGAAAAATGGCCGAAACACGACCAAAGAGACGTCGTTCTGAAGAACAAATTAAAAAGAAGAAGGAGTCGGATAAAGAACGTGCGAATTTCCGAATTTACATCGGTAGCAAAGCTTTTTAACGATGGCGAGAACTCCGGCGGCAGAAGGGCTTCCAGTCCGACATTCAGGTTGCTCTGTTTTTGCTGGACAGGTGGGTAACGTTAAATTGTTTTTTTTTTCTTCTAAATTGACGCTTATGTTCGCCAAACCCACACAAGGATATAATTAGCTAGAAATGCACGTTCACAATTATTTCAGGAAGGACGGAAGGGAGGGGGAGGAGATGAGATGCGGAGGAGGGAGGGTCTAGCTAGCCTCCGATTTGTTTGAAAATATTCCGAACGTCAACACCCAGGATCGCTTAGAGAACCTTTAATCATGCCATGTTTTTAACCATGTTTGAACTTTATTAGTTCAATATAGTGAAAGAGTAAAACTATATGCAAAATAAGATACACCGGTGTTGTGCCAGATGCGAAGTTTATTGTATGTATCATCTTTTTACTACTTTAATTCATTTTATAACAGTATTATTTATGTCTTTTATAACCGTTTTATTTATTTTGTGCTTATTTTCTATGCAAAGCACTTTGAATTACCATAGTGTATGAAATGTGCTATATAAATAAACTTGCCTTGGCTTTATCTGTTTGGCTAGTAGTTTTAGATGTGATATCGAAGAACTTCAAGTGAGCTTCAACTATTAAATGAAAATAAAAGTTTGTTTTGCTGATCCGTAAAATTATCCGATCTGTAAATGATTCGTAAATGATGCAAACCTGGTAAAAACGAAACCGTGGTCAGTTGAGTTTCAGTTGTATATGATGATGATGATTTGTTTTATTGCTCATTAATGCCGAGTTCAGACTGCATGATTTTAGCCACGATTTCGGCTCGCCGACAGGTTTTGGGAAATCGCCGACAAATGCCCGAAATCACAGGCAAATCGGTGCTCGTTCACGCGAGTGACAAGCACGCAGTGTGAATGAGCAAAGATGTGATCTGAGAGAATCAACGATGAGTCGCCGACACCCATGAGATATTTGGCATGCTAAATATCTGGACCTGTCGGCGATTCAAAATCCTGCTGTGTGAAAAGTGTTTTGACTGAAAACTACATCAGCGATTACTGACAACCAGTGAGAGGGCAAGATACAGAGAGCAGCAGGGAGTTCGGGGAGGAGTTATAGATCACATATCAACGTGCATGACATTGTTTCAGAAAATTTCTTCTCTGTCTATTTGGACCCAAGAAATGGAAGAAAAACTAGTAGAAATTTGGCAGGAGCACCCGTCTTTATTTGATGTTTCATCTGAGCCGTATCACAACCAGGTCGAAAAAGAAAAAAGTCTCACGTGAGAACTCCGGTCTAGCACGTGTGATTTTTGCGTTGTTTCCTTGTCACATCTCACGTGTGTTTGTTGTGAAACGTAGTTTGCCCGCAGCGTGCTAGACTGAGTTGTCGACGTTTTTTTTTTTTTTCTATTGTAAAGTCATGCAGTGTGAAACCTTCTGTCGCCGATCCATCGTGCAGTGTGAACACAGCAGTGACTAAATGCTGGCCAAGATAGTCATGCAGTGTGAAAAGAGCAGCGACCTGACTACTTTGAAAATCGTGCAGTCTGAACTTGGCATAACAGATACGTACAATATGAATGAATGAATGAATCTTCTTCTTCAGAGCTCGGGTAAGATGTCCGAACCCTCGCTGTCACTCCCGGTGGAGGATTCCCAGGACCTTTACGCTCCCTCTTCCCCGAGCGAGTGTGCCGTGCCCCAGGCCGGAGACTCCCAGGGGCGCTTCTCTCTGGAGGACGACACACACTCTCAGCTACTCGATGCCGACACACACTCCCAGCTACTGGATGCCGACGGCTTCCTAAACGCCGGCCCTCGAGGCGTTCCCAGCCGATCCCACAAACGCCAGCTCATACTGGACAGCCTGGATGAGAACGCCATGGACGCCAACATGGGCGAGCTCCTGGGGCTCTGCTCCGGGGCCTTCGGGTCGAGCCAGACCCAGCCTGGAGTGGAGGACGAGCTGTTGGGCTTGTGTTCGGGAGCGTTCACCACTCAGCCCGAAGAGCCGGCCGTGAAGCCCAGGGAGAAGAGCGAGACTGCAGAGCCAAAGGAGCGGGGAGGAGAGAGTCACGACATGGACCAGCTGCTGGCGCTCTGCTCTGGCAAGTTCACCGGGAGCCCATGTAAGTCCTGCTCTGTTGTTGTTTACACTGAGGATCAACTTCATTTATACTGTGCTTTTTACAATAGAGTGTTACAGAGCAGCTTTACAGAGATAACAGGAACATAATGCAACAAAGATTGTTTCCAGAAGAAAATCGCGTCACAGTCCGGCTTAAGTAAGCTCAGTGATGGTTCATTTTTGTTGTAAAAAAAGTTATTTATTTAGTTTATATATAGCCGCTCTGGAGAAAACCGTGATGTCATCGTCCAGCTCAGCTCAGTTCTCATGTAATGCTGTCAATGCAGGACATCAATAATATTGAATATTGAATATTCAAGTTTTGTAGGTAACACTGTATTCTATAACCTCTTTTTAGCTGCTTCTTCCCTGCGATCCGTCTCCAGTCCTGCCTTTGAAAAGCCTTCTGAAACAAACAGGTAAGGAGCGATAATCAGTGGGGTTGGGAATCGAACACTTTAGATTAGTTTGTGAGCATTTCAGTATGACTTCAAACCATTCAGTGTCAATTAGTGTTCAGTGCTGCAGGTGTGTGTATCAGTATACTGGACCTGTGCAGCTCTTAATGATTAACTGAACTGAAATTTGAGAAAAGTTGATAAAACAGATGTATTTTAATTATTCTCATTGGTATCATTTTTTTGTTTTTGTTACACGGGAGCAGCCGTAGCTAGTGAATATTCTGAGGCTAGCTGACGTGGCTGAGGAAACAGAATTTTTAGCGACACACTATTTAGAGATGTGTACTTTCTTCAATGAATACATGAAACGTCTGACAATGTCTGCATCAAATGTTTTATTTACACAAGTTACAAGTTCAATGCATCACGTTAACGTTATTCGAATCTTTGATATTCGGCTGAGGGGAAAAGATCCTTGATGTATATTTCACTGTAAAGGATGGGATTCTCCTTCCGAAATGCCCCTTTCCCATAGAGTGAACTGCCAGTACGCTGTTAATCTAAACAGTCTGAGAAAAGTATAACAATTTAGCCCAGCCTAGTCACCTATTCGAAAAATACCCTGCTACTAATGGGGCGCTCGCGTCTCAGCTCGGACATCCATTAGAGACAGCATAGCCGCCTCCAACACGTTTCTCTCACCGAACAGCATCCGAAATGAACGGTGCATGGTGATGCATTTTTCGCCGATCAATAAATGTTCCAGGTTGATCTCTCTGCAACAGATCGACTCCGGTGCAATGTCCATGCGCCACAGCGCTCGCGCCCACAATCACTTCCTCCCAAAAATCCTGTACTGCAAGTGGACTCTGAAACTGATTGTCCTTCATGTGGTGGTCGTCAGATACTACCAGCCTGTCCCTCACGGGCTCAAATACTTAATCCATGCCATTAAAAGTGCTAATTTTCGTCTGTGTATATAGGACCTGCAGCTGTTGTCTATGCAGCTTCGCGGGTCCTACCATGCCAGTGACGTCATCGAAATTGCCAGCACTAACAAGCGCAATTTTGCGTTGCTTAAAAAAAGCTATATTAATATTTTTGTGTAAGTATTCAGCTACAATTAACTGTTTTGCAGTCAGACTAAATGTGAATATCCACTTTTTTATTTTGCCTTATTTGAATTGAAATTAGGAATCAGTAAGCAGAATCGGAATCATTAAAATTCAAACGATACCCAAGCCTAGTAATCATTTTTTATTCTTTATTTGTTGGTATTTTGTCCCTCCAAATGCTGATAGCTTCTAACTGTGCCCATATTAGCAGGGACCAGAACTTGACTGAAGATCAGGAGGAGGAGGAGGGTGACTGCGAGTTCCGGTTCGTTTCAGATGTGGACAGCCTCAGTGAAAAGGTAGATATTAGAAAATACTAGGTTTACTTTGCCCAACGTGACAACATTAGCTCAACCAGTGGTGCAGGAAATGAGTATTTGGAAAACTAGGTAATTTGTGTTTTGTTTTTTTTTTTTTTTTTTTTTGTACGGTGGCACGGAAATTACACACTGCAGCTAAACGTGCGAATATGTTTGTTTTGTCTGTATTTGTTACTGGTCTTTCAATGCTCAGTGTTGCTGAAGTCACCCGGTAGTCAATAATTGAATCCCTTAATACTCAATATGACATATTTAATCACTTTTTTCCTTGGAAATAAATTCTTTATGCTTTAAAATATCTCTATCACTGGTCCACTGTTTGACGATCACACATTGATCTGATTGGTTAAAAGGTCGTTTGTGACGTCAGAAACACCAGCGATTTGGTTCACTGCAGTTTTAAGGAGGAAATACTCAGCAATGTTGTCGACTTATGAACTTACACATGGTGTGTCTTAAAGCATATACATATAAACAACATTAAAGGCTGGATTTACACAACAAGGGGAATTTAACAATTTGTTTTATTTAAGGAGGACAATGAGGATAAATCAGATACCGAAGAGGAGGAAACTGAAAATGAAGAGGACGAGGAACGGGAAGCGGTTTTTGGGCGACGCCCTTGCAAGAAGAAAAAGTAGGTCTTAAGATTTGCAGATTTCTGAATAATGTGTTTGTTATTTGAAACTACAAGACCTGTATTGTTAAATAATTTATAGCTTTTATGAAAGGTTTTGATTCACTTTAAATGTTGAGCACTGTATTTTAGTGTGACAGACGTTGAATTATTGCTAATGAATTCTTTTAATACGTGTTATTTGTGTCCCAACAGCCGTTTGGCCCAGTTTGTGGAGTCTGAGGCGGAGCTTTCTGGCAGTGATGTAGGCAGTGAGGATGAGGATGATGAAGCTGGAGATGAATACGAGGAGGAGGAGCTGCAAGAAGAGCTGCCATCAGATGAGGAACTGATGGACCAAGTTAACAAAATTCACATGTAAGAAATGTCCTCTTTGACTTTGAGTTGCTCTTGGGTTCCCACGGGTCCTTGAAATTCTTGAAAGTTTGGTTTGGACATGAGGCTCATTATTGTGTTCTCCCTTCAGGAAGCAGATCCTCGATGATGATAAGCGTAAACTGAGGCTCTATCAGGAGCGTTATCTCGCTGATGGAGATCTGCATTCTGACGGACCCGGACGAGCTCGTCGTTTCCGCTGGAAAAACATCGGTGAGTTCAGCTCGTGATCCGCACCTCGGGATGCTGAGATTGAGGAGGGAAAAGCAAGAGGCCATGTGTCCACTAAAGCTCTTTTAGCTACCTGAAAACACCTAGCTATGGGCGCTTTAGAGTGTTTTGGAAGTGCAGCTTATTTATTTATTTTTAGTTGTGGCGCCGCTTTGCTTATGATACGGAATATCCGCGAAACTGTTACTAGATACAAAATTTAAAACGAGCCCGAGAAAATGTTAAATTGTATCTCATTTCACACATACTTTGTTGATTTAAATGTCGATACAATGTAACACATTTTCTCTGGCTCTTGTTTTAAATTTAGTTCCGTGGTGGTTGGTGTGGTATTAGACCCGCCCCTCCTCCACTGTGTTTGGACGGCTGGGTAAAGTGACAATGATAAGCGCTTTGTTTACCCAAAGTTGAACATTCTTCAACTTTCGGCGACCAGTAACAGCAAACCGCAAGGCGCTCAGTGTAAAATAAAAGCGTTAAGCCAGCCACGTGAAAAAACGTTTGGTGGGCACACCCAGATTGTACCGCTTTTTCATGTAATTTTTCTGTTTTGACCAGATGACAACTTTGAGTTTGGTGGAATGGGTCCTGACGGAGACGAGGAAGAGGAAGACGAAGAAATCGATCAAATTGAATTACAAAGACGTAAAGAACGGATAGAGCGGGATCAATGGATGAGAGAACAGGTGTGTGTGTGTGTGTGTATGAGAAACAGATCAGTGTTTTAGGGATGTGCAATGACTAATCTCATCCAACGTTTGTGTTTACATATGTGTGTGTGTGTGCTGTGTATAACTATTTTGTATAAATATATAAATACACATACATGCATGCATATGTATTTGAGATTAATCGTTGCCAGAGCCCGTCTAACGGAGAGCCTTGGCACTTCCAATTAGCCCTGTTGTGTATTATGTTGGTTGCAGTTCCATTAGAATTCCACTGGAGGTGATCGCGGGCGAGTGCTGAATGAATGGGAGTCTATGGGGCTAAACGGCTAAATGTGTCTTTCACCTGCTTGTCGTTAAATCAAAATAGATTTTATTGTTGATTCCGCAAGTTCAATATAGATAGGCCAAAAGTCGAATGAACGAGTACTTGTATCCTTTTGATTTCTTACAGGTTAGGCTGTTGTTGGCTGATTTTTAGAACAGATAAGTGAAATTAAAAATGCAATTTACAGCTGAGTGTATTATCTTAGTCCTCCCTTTTGGATGCAACTTTCAAATTACTTGACAAAAAATTACATCCTGAGAAAAGTGGATTTCTGGGGGTGAAACCCCATTGACTCCCATTCATTTTGTACTCGACCGCGAGCGCCCCAGCATGGACAGAGACGCGTTACTGCAGTTAGTCCAGAACCCGGAAGTAACCAGCCAGTGCCAATTCTCTTCAATTAGACATTCTCTGTCGTTGCACAGCCCGAAATGTTTTGTTCATGATCGTGTGGATCTGACTTGTGTTCTGTAGACTGAAGCCCGGGCCAAAAAGGGAGAGGATGGAGATGCAGAAGATGAAAAGATTGGAGATGAGGACAGTCAATTCATGAAGCTAGCCAAGAAGCTAACGGCTAAGACCCTTCAGAAGAGAGGTTCGCACATGCACTGGCTTTTCCCTGAACAAGAGCTAGCTGAACTTACATTTCAGGATCAATATTGACTCAGTTATTTTCTGTAACCCACTACGGCGCTGGTTTATTATGTGTTTGGACTTTCTGCTGGACATGCTGCTAATAAAGAGAGTTGGAGATTTGTAACCCGTATTACCGTTGTGCTTCTCCTGTTTACAGACCCTTCAGCTGTTCCTCAGGAGAAAGCGGCTCCCAATGCCAACCAGTTCAGGAAGCCCTTCCAACCCACTGTGGTCAGTAACAACAAACACACCCACACTCCTGTGTACAGCGCAACACTCTCGGCTCTGGGAGAAAGCACCTTTCATTTCTCTATAGGACAGCCGTGCTCTGTTGAAACTGTTAGCCTAAATTATTTAAACGTTTTTTCCTTCCCTCGAGTCACTTTGACCTGAAACTCAAAAAAAATAAAAATAATAATGATGTATATATACACACTGCATATATGTGTGTGTGTTCATCTGAGAGTTTTGTGGTTGAAATTTTAGTTGTGTGAAACATTCTTGACCCCCTTAGGAATGCGTGGAATGCTTGAGTACACAGAATTGCTTAAAATTTACACTAAAAATGCAAAAACTTAAAGGAGCTAAACACAAGTATCTGAGTTTTTGCAGAACTACGCCCCCTCTGGCAACAAGCGAAACTGTGTAGGCGCTCACACACACATACACGTACGTTTGCACGAGCTGTTCATAACCAAAGGAGCATCAGCCGCACACTGTGCGGCACACATCTTTTGTTACAGTCATAATGAGGTAATACAGTTATAAATCTGCAGGTCATTTAAAATATATGAAAGGAAAGGCATTCGAGTACATACTTGTGTGTGTGAGGGGAAAACAGAGGTAGTAGAAAACTTTGTTTTTGTTTCCATCTATCTCTATATTGAACTGTTTTATGTGCTTACTGTATCAACGTATGATTGTATAATTATGGAAACACTTTCATGAACAATACAAGTTATTACTTTGTATAGGACCCGTTTGAGCCCTAGAGCCGACCGGAGATCTCTCTGTTTGTTGAAAGCCTTCACGATGTTGACTCTCGTCTTATTCCGACGACTGGCACTGGACAGACAGAAGTTGTATTTTCTTTGTCTTACGTGGAGTTTGCGTTGGGGTTTAGAATGAACTACAAGCCGGTCTCTTTGGGGCTGTTTACACCTGGCCACTTCATGCGTTTTCTCAGATCGGATAGCTATCTGATTTATCAAAATGATTCCATTACACCTGGTCACATAAATGTGTTTTTGCAAAACGGATATAATCTGATCTTCAATTCCCGCGCTATATAGGCTACAGAATTCATGAACTGCACGTCACTGAAAGTAACAGATATGAGCTGCATTTTATTAATCATCGGCTAATTTCAAAATCAGCAAAGACAGCAATAAGAGAGATCGGCAACAGCCCTGGTTGCCTGGTAAGATCATTTCATTTCTTTACTTTTAATGAAGATGGTAGTGTTAAGCGTCTGCGACTTACTTTCACTTTGATTTGCGATAGATTGCGGCGCGCTGGCTTTATGAATAGACGCTCAGCTGCTCATCTGAGGTGATGCGCGTCGTCATGACTAAAATAACATGACATAACCTATAGTCTGCTTTCAACAACCAGATGCATTTACACCTGTCCAGTTTTGTCTGGAATGCGGCCCAGACCACGTCCTCAAGTGATTTGAGCGATCGGATTCAAATCCGTCTCGAATGCGTTTCGGAGGGCAACCTGGTCTTTTCACGATCGAATAGCTATCCGATCACAGAAAACGCATGAAGTGACCAGGTGTAGGCTAAACAGCTTCTTTGAATCCATCGTCTACTTTTGTGGAAAGTTGACTAAAGTTGTGTCGCTCGAGTTGTCTTCTCTGATACGGAGAATGGCGGCGAATACACTAACCTGCAAGACATAGGCACATAGCCAGGCGAGCGTGAACGCGCATGACGTCACAGCCAGTCTCAGATTCGAGCCCGAATCCCTCTTATTTATTTTACGGTACAGGATTATAGAGGCGATCGCAGTGATCAGAGAAGGGCTCATTCAGCCCATCAGGTGATTGTTTAAGCATGCATGGGTTAGAAAACAGCTATTTTTAACATGAAATGTTGCGCAATGCACCTTTAACCAAAAAACTATTTTGTGATATGTACATGTGTATCTGAATGCACACTGAAGTAAACTGGGTTTAGGACCCAGCAGAACAGACTTAATACAAGCAGAATGCCCTTTTATGAACTTATTTCACTTCAATAAGATTTTGCCTGAAAAAGTTTTTTGTTTTTTATCAAATGACTTGTTCTGTTTGTTTGCGTGCTTTTGTTGTGTTTATATGATATTTCTATTTTTGTGATAGCTGACATGCACTGAATAACCATAGCAGTGTGGGTCAGAGTGCTCTGCTGTCAGAGGTTTGAGTCTGTGTTTCTCCTGGCGTCCAGGTGAAGAGAGGCTCGTTGCTCAGTCAGCCTCGAGCGCTGTTGCAGAAGTTGGCCAATATCTCGGACAGCAACCCGTTGGCCCCGAGAAACTCACGAGGTTTCCTCTTCCAAACCCTGTCCCCGGAGAAAGAGCCGTCGACCTTGCAGGGACCTAGAAAACAGGTACAGCTCTCCCGGTCATAGAAGGAGTCGTCCACTTCAGAATCAAAGTCTCCTGTTCATTTACTCTCCTCCACGTCACCAAGATGTTCATGTCTTTCTTTTTTCAGTGGAAAAGACATTAAAGTTTTTGAGGAACATACTCCAGTATTGTTCTCCATATACTGTCTTCAATGGGCTAATACAGGTCAAAGGTCCAGATGTGAGTTTCAGTGCAGGTTCAATGACTCGACACGATCCAGCCAAGGAATTAGAGTCTGATCTAGACTAACCAGCCGACATTTATAACAATGACTTCGTGCATTACGAAGTCAGGTTGAAAGGTCAAGTGTGACGTAGGTGTAAGAACAGACTCTGTGTTTACAAAGCCAACGTGTGAAGCCTGAATCAAACGCCATTTACGAAAAAATAAATAAAAAGTTAAAACAATGACGTTTTTGAGGTTAGAGGAGAAAATACAAATTTTTCACCCCATCCTATATTTCTGACCCACGTGACCTTTGAACCTGATTACGTAATGTATCACAGCTCGTGCTAGACTAGCATTAGTGGTTAAAAATGTGTATTTTGTCATAAATGTCGGCTGGTTTGTCTAGATGAGACTCTTATTCCTCGGCTGGATCGTGTCGAGACTTTGAAGCTGCACTGAAACTCACATCTGGACCTTCGACCCGTTAGACCCCATTGAAGTCACTATATGGAGAACAATCCTGGAGTGTGTTCCTTAATGTCAATGGACCACTTGCACTGAGCTTCGCGACGCACTTCCGTTTGGAAACAATACATATCACTTATTTCCGGTTGCGTTTACTTTCAATGTGCTGCGGTCAATGAGTTGAACAAACACCACCTAAAATTAGTGTCTGTAATAAGATTTTATATTTTGGACATTTGTATTGACAAAAGAAGGGATATTCTGATGTTTACCGTGTGCAGAATTGTCAAAACTCATCGGAACGTTAAGTTAAATCCAAACCAAGCCAATACGAGAAAGCTGCGGCTGTTAAAAATACGCCATTATTTCACCACAGGGTGTCAGTGTTCGTCTACACTAGCAGGGTTTCCGCGGGGTCTTAAAAAGTCTTAAAAAGTCTGAAATTCTGAACTTTAAATTTAAGGCCTTAAAAAGTCTTAAAAACGGCTAGATTTTCATCTGAGGTCTTAAATTTGATTTAGTGAGGTCTTAAAAAGATTTTTACCCTCGTTCATTTGCCAAAACTCTGGCCACAGAAAGTTATTACAAAGTAGCAAAAAAGTATTGAGTCGTAGCCTACAAAGCGGAGCTCTAGTGCAGGGGTTCAAACCGGTTCAAACACACAGCTCCCGTGCTAGCATTAGCTCGTGGTTTGATGCGAGGTAGCTTGCCAAGAGGCCGTTCATACACCAGGTTTGCGCGCTCAAGTTCATTCAAATATAGGCGCGTCGCATCCACAGCGAGATTGAAAAAATCTCACTATTTCAGATTCAGAATGCCGCAAACGAACCGAAGAACCAACCAATCAGTAACAACATTGAAAGCTCAGTCAACATGAAGTATCGCGGTGCACCCAAACACTACCGGTGTTTTTCTCTTCTCCGTGAATAAATCTTGTAGCGTTAACGTTACAGCAAGCGTTTCTCAGTGGCGGAAATCCATTGGCTACTAAAATGTCTTTGTCGTTATGGAGAGCGCAGTGCATGGTTGCCTAGCAACGACAGACGCAACAGGAAAATCGGCCCAAATTTTACCATTAATAATTTTTTACAAAATAAAACGTGTTTTTCTAAGCGTTTAAAATTGATGACTATATTGTATGGCGGAATACCATAAAAAGTGCTTTAGAGCACTTCAACTTGGCGCAATAATACCTTCACTTGTGAAAAGTCCTCTTACCGGCTCCCGCTTCCTCGCTCTCCCTCTCCCTCTTATTTCCGTCAATGCAGCCAACGTGACATGCGACAAAGCGGGAGCCGGTAAGAGGACTTTTCACGAGTGAAGGTATTATTGCGCCAAGTTGAAGTGCTCTAAAGCACTTTTTATGGTATTCCGCCATACAATATAGTCATCAATTTTAAACGCTTAGAAAAACACGTTTTATTTTGTAAAAAATTATTAATGGTAAAATTTGGGCCGATTTTCCTGTTGCGTCTGTCGTTGCTAGGCAACCATGCACTGCGCTCTAGCCTACCAGCGTCACCAGCCTAGGTCGAGTTACACTAATCGAGTAACTGTGTTTAAATAGGGAAAACGAGGAAGTGTTTGGTCGCTTCTCTTTTGGGCCCATATTTAATGCACTGGGCTAAGCTAAGTGCTAACATAGTTTTGCGGCAATACAGAGCGATAGAGTGCACGCACTGAGACGAGAGAGGTATGCATCAGCTCGTTTTAGTTAAGGGAATAACATAGTTTAATATGAAAACCCGGTGGAGTATCCCTTTAAGGAACCTGGCCTAACAATATAGCACTGATTAATCTAGATCAATCAGTAATAAAATGACCTAAAAATGTAATACATGTTTAGCATAACATTGCAATGCATTATATGCATAATCTATACCCAAACACAAACAGTAAGCAAACCAAGATGAATAAACGCTATGAATGTTGATAATTCTCTGTTGATGCATGACAGCTAATGGTTTACATGCCATTTCATTATTCTATTATTATATGTTAATCTATTATTATTATAGATATTAACCTATTTTAATTGTATAATTTCAGGGGTTTTTTTTCTTTTCCAAAATCAAAATTTTACCTATTGTATGTTCCTTGATTGAATTTATTTATTTTGAAAATTTTGATCTGTTTGTTTTTTGATACTTTCTTTGCACATATGGTAGTTGAGAGTTTCAAGCAGTGTTTAATATAATTGTTTCAATTCACTTAAATTTAGACTCTTTTTTTTCCCCCCGACTGTGGTATCGATTTAGTATCGATACCACAACCTAATACCTAATCGGTACGATACCAGAACCTAATACCTCGGTATCGATTTAGTATCGATACCGAGGTATTAGGTTCTGGTATCGTACCGAAGCCAAAATTGTGGTATCGAGCCATCCCTAGTATAGAATATAAGTAGGCTAATACTGTTGTTAATGAGAAGACAGAAGACTACTGCAGGTTATAGTGGATAAGGGATAAATATATTTAGCCTATTTATTTATTTATTTATTTATTATTCAGAATTGAACAGTTAGAAAAAAAAAATATATTTATAGGAACATTTCAGCAGGCTCAATATAATTAATACAGAGATCGTTATTCATTGTTTTAATCAATTGGCATCCATAAAACGTAGTGATAATCTGCATTCTCATGTATGGACGTGCAATGAACACTCTAACCGGAAACTCCCGGTATGTAATAAGTAGAACGCGGAAGTAGTTGTGCAAGTAGTCCATTCGACTGAAGAAAGAAAGAAATGAACATCTTGGATGATGTGGAGGAGAGTAAATGGTCAGGAGACTTTGATACTGAAGTGATTTTTTTTTTTTTTTTTTTTTTCCTTTAAGATTTTTTTTTTTTATGCCTCGCATTTAACAAGATATTTTACTTTGGAGTTGAAATAACAAACCGGATCAAAATCTTGACGATTCATAATTCTTGGATGTAGTTCATAACTGCACCACTGGATGGCGCTGCAGTCTCAGAATGATCATCACAGCTCAGCATCTCATTACTTCACCACTACAGATGCATGTTTTATTGTACAGGTGATCTAAAAAAAAAATTAATATCAGGCAAAAGTTCATTTACTTCAGTAGTGCAACTTGAAAGGTGAAACTAATATATTATATGGACTTGCATATCAAAGTGAGATATTTCAAGCCTTTATTTGTTATAATGTTGATTTATGGCTTACGGATATGAAAACTCCAAATTCAAAATTAGAGTATTGTGAAAAGGTTTTCATATCCGTAAGCCATAATCATCAACATTATAACAAAATAAAGGCTTGAAATATCTCAGTGTACATGTAATGAGTCTATATAATGTATTAGTTTCACCTTTTAAGATGAATTACTGAAATAAATTAACTTTTGTACGATATTCAAATTTCTTGAGTTTCACTTGTGTAGTGGTGTATATTGTATAGTGGTGTGTATTGTCAAGTCAAATATATTTATATAGCACTTTTCACAATACAGATTGTATCAAAGCTGCTTTACAGTATCAATCAAAACAACTTAACAGTGTTTATTTATTACTGGAAAAAAGACAATCAAGTTTGGTAGAGCTGATCAATGGTATGATGGGTCATTTAATTTGAATATCCCCAACTGAGCAAGCCAAAGGCAACAGTGGCAAGGAACTGAAAAACTCCATCAAGTGACCCGATGGTGTCCTAAAACTCCATCAGATGACCCAATGGAGAAAAAAAAAACCTTGGGAGAACCCAGGCTCAGTCGGGGCCAGTTCTCCTCTGGCGTTTATGAACTAGAGGCCAAATTTACAGTAACTGTAAGATAAAAATAATAATAATATTTTTGTATAGTGGTGTATATTGTATGATGGTGTTTGATGTGTTTCTGATGAGTAAATGGTTCTTGCAGATGAAGAGACGAGGCCTGGATTCTCCGGCTCCGGCTGCCAAACGCTCGTGTGTCGGTAACGCCGTCGCTCCCGCCGGACCGCCGCGGAGTATCTTCAGCTTTCTGGAGAACTGACCATCACAACCACTGTCACAGTATTACTAACGATTACTACAGAACTATATACGTCCCTGTGTCTATACTAAATGCTATGATGAGTTTGGCTTGTTTTAGACTATTTCTATCATGTACATATTGCGATTTCATCGTTTAAGTGATGTAATTTTATTTGTTTTTATAAAGTTGTAAATTAAAAGTGTATTTTAAATCATCACAGCTATATGTATTTTTTATTGCCTTTTCATGTTTAGAGGTTTGAGCTTTGCTATGCATTTTAACAGCCTAGCCTGCTTTAAATGAGATTTGCTCTTCTGAGCTTCTAGATCTGGAGCAAAGGGTTCCTCTCTTCTTCTTTTCTTTTTCCTTTATTTATTATTATTTGGTTAATCAACCTTTCTTTAGGCACTAGTTTGTGGCTGTTTTGCAGTGGTTCTCAACCAGAGGCCCTCAACAAACTTCTAAGAGGACTTAACCACTTTATTTGTTTATTGTTATTTTTTAATAATTGATCCACATCTTTCTAGTCACGCCAGGCTCTATAATATTGTATGATGTAGAGATTTTAATATTGGTATGAACAATTTGTGGCTTTTTGAAGTATAAAAATGTGGAAATCCACTCCTGTATACTGAAATGGTTCCGTTTAATTGACGGTAATAAAACGGCAGCTGTGGTGACTGAAAATTTACTGTAAAAAATACAGTAGCAACATTTCAGGTTTTATAGACTTTATAATTAAAACAACCCATTTCATTGACTGATAAGATCGTTTATCAACCTATTGAAGTGATAAAATCTGTTTTGTACAACTGTAATACACTGACAAACACCAATCATAGCAGTGATGAGTCACATGATCAATCACAGCTCATCACAAACAGTTTTTCTACAGAAAAATTAATATTATATAGAAGATGCAGTGTCATTCACACACACTAAACACCATCACGGTAACACGCATGACAATTTAAACATGCAATAAACATTCATTTAACAACATTAATTGTAACATAAAAATGTGCATAACTGATTAGAAGTAAGTTATTTCAACAGAAATACATCAAATGTGAAGTGCCACGCAGGGAATTTAGTGTTGCAACATGTTCCATTTAATGTAACATTAAATGTTATGTAACATTTACATAACAATTGTAATGTAACATTTAATGTAACAACATGTTACATTTAATGTTGAGTGAATGCAATAAACATTCATTTAACAACATTAAATGTAACAAAAATGTGGATAACTGATTAGAAGAAAGTTATTTCAACAAAAATACATCAAAGCAGGGAATTGTGGGAATTTTAATCTGTGTTTTTTTACTGTAAATTATACAATGACTACATTTTCACTTCCAAAAACTCAATTTAACAGTGTTTACTGTAAAGGTACAGTTAGATCCATCACAATTATTCACCATAAATAGTATTGGAACTTTAACTTAATCAATTAACAGCATTTTTACCATTAAAATCACAATCATTTAATTCTAGGTTCATTTGTGACTCATTTAAGCAAGCTTTAGATTCTGCAACATGTTGACCATGCAACATTTTATTTGAACCCATGATCTCTAAAAAAAATGCTTTTTTGAAGATAATTGACCTTGTCAAACTGGGAAACAAGTGTGTGTGTGTGTGTGTGGCTCCTGGGCAGCCGGTCGGAGTGCCACGCTGGATCTGACAGCGACTCCCTCAGGGATTCTGTCACGGCTCAAACACTGCAACTGGAGACGTGCAACTGAACTGAGGGAAATGGGTCATCACTGCAGGCTGAGCACACACACAACAGCAGTGCCATGCTTTACTGCACGGTGTCATTATTTAGTGCAATAACTTCCTCCAAATGTCTAATGTTAAAGCTGATGATTCTACAAGCGACTCCAGCGCTTTATCTTTACATGAATATGGCTGATTTCAAGGGTTTTCCAGGATTAAATGTCAAAAAGTCCAATTCAAGCGTTTTAAACGCCTTGTATGAACCACAGCTGAAATGCTTTTTTTATTATTATTTAAGTCCTGGAAAACCTTTTAAAGGCATGTTTATGAGAGAACTTTTCAATTTAATTGATAAAACAATATTTTCACGCAAATTAACGCTGCAGCTCGTCTGATAAAGAGCCATTTCGCATGACTATGAGTGTGATATTGCTCATTAATTTCCAAGTATAGGCTACGTTCACACTGCAGGGCTTAATGCTCAATTCCGATTTTTTGAAAAAATGCGATTTTTTTGCAAGGCCGTTCACATTTCCAATTAAATGCGTCCTTTTGTGATCTCCTGTGTGAACGTGAAATGACCCAGAAGTGACCCGCATGCGCAGAAGAGTAATCAACGGTCCAAGACGTCACTTGTTGTTTGCAGAATAGTTCTTTTTTTTCCATATGTTGCGACCTTTTGTTTTATTATTATTATTGCCACAGCCCATATACAAACACAGACAATAATTATTTTATCGACGGGCAGTTTGCAGATAAATGTAAGATTTTTCCGATCCTCACCGACCTCGTCATAAAACCCGTTTAATTGATAGTGCGTGTCCGCTCCTTGCTTTGTCACCGGCGGCCGCGGTGTTGCCAGATTGGGTGGTTGTTCGCTACATTTTAAGGCATGTTCACATGTGTTTTAGCCAGGTTTTCGCTTGGAAGGCTCTGGCACCCTACTGTACAAAGTTATACTGACAGAGAGCGCACGTTCACATACACCAGAATGAACGTGTTCACAGTAATGTTCATCAGGCAGTAATACAGTATGTTTATTTCAGGCGAACGTGAATAATATGATACGCGAAAATATGAACGCGTTCATGCACTATCGTTCATTGAACGCGTTCAGGCACAACACTGGGGAAGAGACACGTCTGCAGTGGCCCATAACAGTGAGGAAACGCGTTGGAGTTAGCGTGTATTGGCTGGCTACAGGTGCTTGCAATGACGTGCGGGTCGGATATATGTGACCTGGCCGTTCAGATTGAAGTCGCATTTCAAAAGATCGGATACATATCGGATTTAGACCACATACCCAAGTGGCCTGGGTCGCATTTGAAAAGATCGGATCTGTGTCGTTCAGACTGTCATGAAAAAATCAGATACAGGTCGTATAGGGGCAAAAAAAATCGGAATTAGGTCGTTTCAGCCTGCAGTGTGAACGTAGCCTATGATATAGCTCTCATTCTGCAGGTCAATCATATGTTCATGAGAGAAAAAAAATCAGTTTGAATAAGAAAGCAATGTCTTTGTCATAGTATTCTTTAACCCTTTCACGCGTACGATCACACCGGTGTGATCAGTCTTGGCTGGTCCCTGGAGCGTACGATCACACCGGTGTGATTAGAACGTTCAGTGCACACGTCAGCAACTGCTAAATTCAAACTTGCTCTCGCGCGTTGGGTGGCGCTCAGCCAGAGACAGACGCACTCATTGCTGTCATATATCACAACTACTGAGTGTTTCACAAAGCTATTTTAGACCGGTCTATAGTGTTAGACAAGTCTAAAATGTGCTCATAGACTAGTCTAATGCAAGTTAGACAGTTTCACAAAAGTAAAGACTGACTTAATTTAGACCAAAAAAATTAGACACCTTACCCCCAGGCTAACTTTGGTCTAAGACTCTATGTTACCTTGGCAACCAACAGTAGCAATCAGTTACATTACAAACAGCCAAAAGAGAAGGGAAAATGGCTCATAATTTGTGGTTTGCTGACGAAGTAATGGAGAGAGCTATGAGAAGGGAAAGGGTTTTTAGGGACCGCAGTAACCTACTGGAAATATATAATAATGAGGACTTTATCAGTCGGTTTCGTTTGCCCAAGGAAGCTATACTGAGTCTGACTGATGAATTAGCTGAAGTACTGAGCCCTGCCACTTCAAGAAGCCATAGCATCCCAGCATTGCTACAGGTTTGCACTGCGTTGAGATTTTATGCAACAGGAACGTTTCTGAATGCTGTTGGTGACACAGTGGGTCTCAGCAAAGCTTCTGTGTCACGGGTGGTATACAGGGTATCAAGGGCACTTTCAAAATAAGCTCCCTCAGTTTCCAAACCAACTGGCTGAGCTGAACAAAGTCAAAAGAGGGTTCTTCAGCATAGCAAGATTTCCCAATATTGTTGGAGCAATTGATGGGACACATGTCAGAATCCAGGCTCCAACAGCTCATGAACATTTGTTTGTGAATAGAAAAGGATACCACAGCTTAAACATTCAGGCTGTTTGTGATTCTGATCTCCGGTTCCTCAACTGTGTGGCCCGCTGGCCTGGATCAATTCATGACTCTCGAATTCTTCAAAATTCTCAACTTTTCCAAGCATTTGAGCAAGGCATTATCGATGGGGTCCTGTTGGGGGACTCTGGCTACCCTCTAAAACCTTGGCTCCTAACTCCCTTTCTGAATCCTACTACACCTGCACAGAGAAACTACAATGCAGCACACTGTTCAACTCGTAACACTGTAGAGCGGGCATTTGGTGTACTGAAGAGGCGTTTCCATTGTCTACATGGGGAATTGCGAATGACACCTGACAGAGTGTGTAACATCATCTGTGCGACTGTTGTGCTGCATAACATAGCGAGGTAGGCCTACCTGAAAACAAACAATTTAAATTGATAGCCATTTTCAATAGGCCTAATTGAATAACTATTTACCACATTCTACAGTTATAATCATACTTGTTTACTTCTTAATCATTAGGGATCTCCGCCTACCTGACCCTCAAGGAGAGGATATCAGAGATGACAATCAAAATGAACTGGAGGACAGAGAAGATTTAGAGGAGCAGAATGGAACCGGTCGATATGTGCGTCAGATGTATGTTGACAGGATTTTCAATGTATGAAACAACAACAAAAATCACATCAAAGTGGGCCACAACAGTCTGTCTTTACCTATTAGGCTTAAATGAGTAGCAACCAACTTAATAAATATATATATATATATTTATTTTTTGAAGTTTTCTAAAGTGATATACTGTTCATTCAATAAATTAGTACAATAAATTATACAGCGTTTGTGTCTCTTTACATTTATATCAAAATCCTCAAAGTTATTAAAAGTACAACAAATCTACCGTTCAAACTCTTAACCATTTTTCTCACAAAAAATTACATACTGTTCATTCAATAAATTAGTACAATAAATTATACAGCGTTTGTGTCTCTTTACATTCATATAAAAATCCTCAAAGTTATTAAAAGTACAACAAATCTACCGTTCAAACTCTTAACCATTTTTCTCACAAAAAAATGACATACTGTTCATTCAATAAATTAGTACAATAAATTATACAGCGTTTGTGTCTCTTTTCATTCATATCAAAATCCTCAAAGTTATTAAAAGTACTCTCTAACATATCTACTCTTAAACTCATTCAAACTCTTAACCTGTATAAAACTAATAAGGCAGATTAGAAGTAGGTCTACTCAACATATTAACTTTTGAAACAGCTTTAAAAAACACAGAAAAGAATTAGCCTAAAATACCTCATTGTCTTATTGGAAGTATTTAAGATATTCACAACTCCACTGACTGTTTTTGCAAGTCTGATTTTAATTTATCTCTCTGAAGCTGTAAAACTTCAATCTCGAGCAGCAATTTCCTCTCTTCCAGTTCAAGATTTCTGTATTGTTTGTCTAGCACCATTGACATAGTTGTTCCTCTCGACACTGATGTGCAAACCAAGGGAGCAGCAGCTGTAGCTGATGCTGATCCTGACGCTGACTCGGACTCTTCATCTCGCGTCCCCTCCCGTCTCTCACCCGGCTCCTCCTCCACTGCCTCACTTCGTTCCCAAGTCAAAGACAGGGTCACTAAAAATAAGTACAGACATAACATTACCTTACTTACTTCACGAATCAGATTCCTACATTAAATAAATTGCAGACCAAGAACATAGCTTCCTTGTATTATAGGCGGAAGCAGTATGTTTAACGTTTATTTTCTGGCTAGAAAGCTTACCGGTTGACATTAGCATAACTTACATCAACTTTACATCGACTTTATTAGCATCAACTCGACGGCAATGAAGCAAAAGTAAAAACCGAACTGATTTCTTTAAAACAATCACCCGCAGTTACCTGTATTCTCCTCTTGATTGTCTGGCTCTTCCTCTTGACAAGGCGGGGTGCTGCTGTCAGTGGCTGAGGGAACTCCGCCGGTAACGTCGCTGTTGACGCCGCACACTCCACTTTCCCGTCCTCCGCTTATCCCCCAGAACATAGGCGACTGTCCGCCATATATAGTCATTACCATTTCTGTGGTGTCCTTAAGTTTCTCTTGGGGTCCTCCTCCCGTTTTTGGGTTCTTTCTCTTGAAAATTTCTTTTTTGGCATCTTGTACCATGTTTTTGTACCTTTTTTGTACGTCTTTGACGCTCCGCTCAACGGTTGGATTAACGCTGTTTACTGTCGTCGCAATCTTTTTCCAAATTAAACACTTCTTTTTATTGCTACATTCTCCGTTAAATTTTCCCAGTAAAATGTCCTTGTAACTGTTATACTCCTCCAACAAACACATATTTTCTGCTGGTGTAAACTGCACTGAACGGTTGAATGCACTTACTCGATCCGCCATGTTTTTTGTTTTGAAAAGTGTCTTATTTTACCCAGAATGCATTGCAATGTAGTCCTACTTAAGATAGTCAGAGTCTTAAGTGCTTTGTGCAACGGTCTAATTTAGATGTCTATCTGAAGTCTGACTATCTACTATATCTAAGCCATAGTCAAAGTCTATCTTTGTGAAACCGGCCCCTGTTCTGGTTGTGCTGTGTCACGTGACAAGCAATGACGCGTCACCATAGAAACATTAAAGTGGCAAGTTCTAAATAACGGTCGCCTTGAAAAACTCACGCTGGGGGGTCAGTTAGAATATTTTAAACTTACGTGTGAAAGGGTTAAATGGTTAAAGTTACAGGTGTTGCATGTGCAGAATTTTAATTGTACCTTTTTGTTTTATTTTTTGTTTAGAATTTGAGCGATAATAAAGATATTGTGATGAGTGAGATCTCTCTGTAATGTGATGTATGTTCCCGCATCTCCTGCTCTCCGGTCTGGCCTGGTGTCGCCGTGTGACGGGCCGCGGGTGTGTGTGTGTGTGGGGGGGTGGGGGTATAGACAGCCTGGAGGGGCCACACTTGAATGGGGATGTTGTTGGACAGAGAGAGAAGATCTTTTCTGTCGCTTGTCATGGGATCGGGGGGTGCACTTACTGAGTCTGTCTGATGTGCAAGAACCCAAAACAGTCACACACACACTGCCTCATGATTAAAAACCCTCGATGCGACAACAACAAAACTGCAGAAGGAACATTAAAGCTGCACTGTGTAATATTTAGGAGGATCTGTTGCCTGAATGCAATATCATATTCATAACTATGTGTTCAGTGGTGTATAAAGAGCTACATAATGAAGCGTTATGTGTTTATTAGCTTAGAATGAGGCATTTTTCTCCACACACACACACACACACCGTTTCTACAGTGGCCCTGAGTGGACAAACACGTTTCGTCACAGTGTTGTTCTTCATGATCAGAAGCTGCTAAAGTCAACGAATAAAACACTGACACAATGATGAACAAGTGACAGTAATATTCGTAATAACATTATGTTACTGAAAAATTAAAGCTGCAATGTGGGATTTTTAGCGACATCTAGCGGTTCGGTTGTGAGCTTGCACCAGGTTTGCAATAAGGGCTCAGCCCACTGCTCACCCCTCCCTTTCGAAGAAGCTACGGTTGCTAATCGGGACAAACATCTCGTCGGCTGAGACAGCAGAGAATAGCCAGAGTAAGACAAGAGTGTGTAACATTGTCACTGTTTCTGTACCACAGTCCATTATAAACCACATCATGGATAAAGTTTACAAAGCCATAGTCAGGTGAGGATCAAGGGTTTAAATATATAATTTAATAGAATAATTGTAATCAGCTGATTGTCTCACAAACATAACCAGCAGCACATTTCCCCCACGTAGCAAACCCATAATACAGCGAGGGATAAGAACCACATGAAACTATGCAGCTATATATTTTTTCTAACAGGGTAGTAAAAGTTTAGCTGGCTAATATGAGCTGTTACTGTGGACAGTACTGAACTGGTTAAAGCCTTGTTTACACTCGACGCGTCCGCATAAAGAGTCCAAAGGTGCGCGCGGCAAAAATGACATGATTGTAACAGCGCGCACACCTCCACATCCCATAGACACAATTTACTACACACAATAGGCTTTTTCTCTGGTTTTGAAAACTCTTCGCGATCAACTTAGATCTTTTTCAAGATCGACGGGTTAGTGATTCCTGTAACATACTGTTTTGTGGTCAGTGACATGAGTACTAATCAGCTTTCTCACAAATGTAACAGCAAATTTATCCCCACATAACAAACCCATAACACAGCGAGGGAGAACTAAGTTACATGAAACAATCCATTCCCAACTACATATTTTACACAGCTAGCTTCCAGCTCTCTGCTGCTTCTCTTTCAAGGTAGTGATGAAACGCGCTCTGTAGCGCTGTTTGTTCGCGTTCGGCTACGATAGAAACACATCACAATATGGCGACCTTATGGAGATATAAATTTCTCATTCTAAGGTAATAAAAACACTACGGTTTATTAAGTAAGTTCTTTACACACCTCTGAAAACATAGTTATGGATGTCATATTGCATTTCTGTTAATAGATACTCTTTTACTTTAACTTTTTTACACATTGCACCTTTAAGTAAACCTAATTTCTTCATTTATCTTTGTAAAGAAACCTAATTGCTGAACTGGCTCTTCTCTGCTGTCTCAGACAACGATATCACTTCCTGTCGGCCATTGGGTGCAATTCACAACCTCACCACTAGATGTGCTAGACCGTAAACACTGCACCTTTAAGGGCACCTTTAAACCTGCTTGTAAAATTGTTGTCCTGATCTCATTGTCTGATGATGGATGATTTATATATATATAACTTTCAGAGGTTAATATTTTTTAAGCGTCAGTCCCTTTCTGGAACATTCTCACGTGACGTGACCCAGGATAAGTCACATTTTTCCTGCAAAACTGGGCAACTTTTGAACTGTTGCCGCACACTGATAATTAAAGGTTAAATTGGACAAGTCAAATTGGATTTTGTGCTACTCATACATTGACTGTAAAATATCTATTTTAAATATGTATAGGAGTGGCATATTATATTTGTTGCTCCTCTCAGGGTCTCACATTTAGCTAACCATCAACAATCATTTCATAATAAATTTGTGATTTAATTCCATAATAAAATGATACATAGGCTAATTATAATATCATAATTATTATTTTTCTTAATTATTTAATTACATAATTATAATATGGGAGAACTGGGCAACTTTCTCTGATAATTAAATGTTATTTGACTTGAAGGACCCATTTTGACATTCCAACAATGATAACTGCGAGATGTATTGGTACTGCTATATAGCTAGCAATTTTCAAATTGAACTGTGGGTAATATGGTGACTGTAAAATATGCATGTTTAAACAACTGATTTGAATATACAGGGCCAAAAATTAACACTTAAACACATTGAAATGTTGTCACTCGCCAGTTGGCCGGTAACATTTTTATGAATTCTAACAATACTGTGGACAAACGTGAATGAAGCTTAAGTGAATGTAAACAGTTGAGAAAGTGCATGTGTATTAGTTCATTAGATCTGCGCATTCTTTGTTTTAAAGTGACAGCAGCACAAAACAGAGTTTCTGTCTTTAAATAGTCTACTGTCAGAAGAACCTGAAGCACTGTTGATTTTATTTGTATATTTGTTATATTGTGGTATGTGTGTGTGTGTGTGTGTGTGTGTGTATAATTGAATATAAAATTTCATTGCTGACAAAAAATATACGTTTCATTGCTGGCAAAAAAAAAATACAAATTCAATGCGTGTGTGTGTGTGTGTGTGTGTGTGTACGTGTGAACATTTCCCACACTATTTTCCACTAATCACTTCAGTGGTTTCCAGTTATGCGGTCCCTTCCCAGTTTAGGAAGTGAGTCACAGTCCAGTTTTCCGCTGCAGTGCATGGGAAGAGAGAGAGAGAGAGAGAGAGAGAGAGAGAGAGAGAGAGAGAGAGAGAGAGAGAGAGAGAGAGAGAGAGAGAGAGAGATCAGCATCGCAGGAGAGGAGGGGAAACAGGGAGGACACTAGCATCTTATTCGCGGACGAAACACGGACAACAAACCGTAAGACAATGCCTTATAATAAGTGATATTCAAATGTTGTTGCCAATCATGGATTTATGTAACAGCTACATATGATATAATATCGGCGATGTTTATTCTCTCAGCGGACGCGCGCGGTGTATGATGGGGTGAGACTCGCTCTTACGTAATCAAACCTTTATTTATATTAATTCTGCTCATCGATAGTTTTTCTTGGCTTTTACTATTGGCTGTTTTGCTTATTATCTAAATCTGCGATGACATTGGAGATTATAGAGCTTTGGCAGTTTAAGATCCATTCATTTCCTTCATGCATCTTATTATGCGTTATCTTACGCGACGCTTCAATTCCGCTCGAATGGCGCGTCGTCAGGCACATCACAGCTGGCGGATTAATATACCGAAATTCAGGTTAGCTCTAATTTTCAGTTCGTTTCTTGGGGCGGAATTGGACTACTGCAGATTTTATGTCCTCAATAATTAGGCTATATTATTTGCGCCTGAGGCGCGCGACCGCACCACATGCACGCGCACAGTGATTGACAGGAGTTATTACGTGGACTCTGTCTGTGAGAGGACATCTGAATATTTCATGTCACAGAAATTGGAAACACGCCGTGGAATTGCACCTCTGAATATTTCATGCATTAGGGATTTTAGCCCGGATATTATGTACTGTGTTTGTGCCCTTTTAGCACTTTTCTGTTTTGTCTGAAAGTATATTCACTGCCGAATTGTATTAGTGCATCACTTTGCGGTCGGAGTCTTTTGTCAAATCACTCTCTTTTTCTCTCTCTCTCTCTCTTTTCTAAGAGCAAGTGAATCTCAAGCGAAGCTGAAAATGCTCCAGCAGGATCGGGACATGATCCCCGGGTTCAGAGGTCAAGCGCTGGTCGCACCGGTGACTCTAAGCAACAGTCAGAAGCGATGCGAGAAAGATGGGAACTTTAACTTCTTGGGTCAGGATGATGATCCGATCACGGGAGATGAGAACCGCAATCAGGTGCGTCCGAGAGCCTTGGGTCGTGATCCGTCGTGCTACGGGTCTGGACCCCTCTCGCCGCTGTCCCGTCTCCCGTGCTGGAGTCCATTAGAGCCTCTTCCCGAGATCGAGAGCGGAGACGATACGGGCAGCAGAGTTCCTCCCGATGGAGCCGAGGAACAGAAGATTGATGAAGAGATGAGGAGAGAGACGGATGAGGAGAAGGAGCAGAGACAGGGTGAGAAACTAGAGGATGAAGATGAAGAGGAGGAGGAGGAGGAATGGTGGGCTAACAGTGATGAAGAGTTTGAGTTCAGCTACAAGTCCGAAAGCTCTTCCCGCCTCAGCGTGGAGAGCGTGGATATAGGGGGACCCAATTCGATATGGGACCAAATTTGCCGTGAACGTCCGGCACCAGAAAATGGGAATGCGACTGTGGATGCCGGGAAGAACCAGACCAAGACGGAGCGCAGGGAAAGCATTGATCTTGTTGGAAACGGGTCGTTGGACTCCGACTCCGATCCGTGTTCCGAGATTCCGGATCTCATGGAGGCGGTTTGGACTCTTCAGGAGCGAGAGAGGTTTAAAGCGCAGGAGATGGAGAAGCACCAGGTCCAGCTGATCATGTACCGGCGCCTGGCACTCATCCGCTGGCTCCGAACCTTACAGAACCGGGTCCAGGAGCAGCAGAACCGGCTCCAGTCCAGCTTTGACATCATCCTCACACACAGAAAAGAGCTTCTGCGCATGAGCACCACTGCCGCACAGTAACACACACATCATGAGACCAACTGATGACTATCATCATGTGGAGAGTTATCTTTGCATCTCAGTCTTTTTTTTTTAATCAATTTACCTCCTGGGTCTCTGAACTATTTTGCCCTTATGTTCCACATTGTTATCATCCCTATCACAAATGTGGTTAAAGTCCTCCAGAACATATATATATATGAATGTATGTGTCTTATAAAATAAATTATATTTAACAATTAATACACATTGTGTTATTTTGTGAAATGCACAGTTGTGAGTGTGTTAAATCACCATCAAATGCACAAAATGTGGAAAAGATTTTATTTTAATTAAAATTTACATTGTGACTAAATCAATGTCTGTATTGGTTTACACCAGTTAAAATCAACTTCAAATTTGAAACACAGCTTGTTTTTAGATTTATGGCTTTGATGGAATGTGTTTAGGAAATATATTTTTCATCAAAAAAAAATTGAGGGACCAAAGTCTGTTGCTCCAAAGCATTCAAGATTAATGACGTTTAAGTTGAAAATTTGATTTAATTTTAATTCAATCTATGCTCAAAAAGTGAATAAATTAATTTATAGCTACTGCATAAATATAATTAAGGCTACCATAGAATCCCCTAAAAATACAAAATATTAAATCGTCTAGTACAATAATTTCATTAAAATAAAAACAGTACCGGAGGTTTACGCCATACAAATACAGACAAATTTAGAGGTGATGTCAACAATATTTAGCAATATGTGCTCTAAGACTTGGTATAGTTTCAACATTATTTGTTCAAGACCCTCTGCTTGACCTTTATTGACAGTGCTTACTTTAAGAACCACACAGTGTTCAATTGTTCCTCCTTATCACACAGAAATAGTGTTGGGTGAGAGTTTTAAGTCAAAGTAGCCTGATCCGGGTTATAATCTCGTGGCCCGGGGCTGTGAGCGTTTGGTCTCTCTCTCTCTCTCTCTCTCTCAATTCAATTCAATTCGATTCAATATAGCTTTATTAGCATGACTGTGTAACACAATGTTGCCAAAGCATCAACATATTATATATAAATAATAGAACAAACACAGAGAACATATATGTATGTTCTCTCTCTCTCTTTCTCTTTCTCTCTCTCTCGCTCTCTCTCTCTGCGTGTGTGTGTTTATGGAGATACCATGTAAGGAGGGTGAGAGTGACTAGTTCGTGTCCCTGAGGGATTTGGACACCTGGTCCGATCGGGCCGGTGAGTAGCGGCTCGGCCTGCAGGTCCAGCCCGACTCGGCAGCCAAAAGCCCGGGGCGAAATGAGGGATAATCCGGGCTTTCTCAACCAATGCGGGGAGTTGATGCGACTAACCTTCCGCGCTTATCACACTCCTGTGAGAATGTACAGAAGAATTAACATGTTTAATGATTTGGTTTGTCGTCTTTGGCTCAGTCACACACTATCAAAAGTGCGAGCTGAGAGAATTACACGGATTTGGAAGCGTTTTTGTCTCGGAGTGTTCTGCGAGAATACAAAAAGCGAGTGTTTTACAAGGGATAACACTCTTGTTTAACAAATAACGACTCATTTCTGTACAAAGTGGAGGCATACCAGTTAAGAATAGTGTTTTTAATAGTTATTCATTAACAGCGGTTGATTTTTAAACGAACAGTCCATAATTTACTTTCCGTCAGTTGAGTCTGTTGAGGTTTTTCGCGCGCAACGTAACCGTCAACTATTTGAAAGACGTTTTAAACTAAACTACCTGTTTTGGACTGTTTAAATATATAATATTTGAACAATACTTATATAGATCACATAGGCCTACTCACGTTTTATCGATGAACTGTCAGGTGCGTTTGAGAGGCATTGCCATATGAACCTCTTCCCAGCTGAAGTCGTGCGAAGTCGACGAATGATTAAAAAGTGGCTAATTCGTAACAATTCAATACGACCTCACTCGTACGAATTAATACGATTTTGCAAAATCGTACATATTTTACGAATTGGCCAATTCGTATTCGTACGAATGACCTACCCAGACAGCAAACTGACATTGAATCAACGTGGAAACGACGTCTCTCATGACATTGAAACAACGTTGATTTGCTCATCGAATTAACGTTGAACCAACGTCAGACGCGGCATTCTTCAAAGCTAAATGAAATCGAAAATTGGTTTGCTTTCATAACGTTGAAACAACGCGTTGATTTCAAGTTGATTTTCCGTTAGTTTTGAAAGAATGACGCGTCTGACGTTGGTTCAACGTTAATTCGATGAGCAAAACAATGTCAGATCAACGTTGTTTCGATGTCATATTTCCACGTTGATTCAATGTCAGTTTGCTATCTGGGTACCCATTACCCCGCCCCTAAACCTAACCATCACGTGGGTTTAGACAAATCGTACGAATTAGTACGAGTGAGGTCGTACGAATTAGCCACTTTTTAATCATGTGTCGAATTCGTACGAATTGGTCGTGAGATAGTGTTGTCTGACCACACTTAACTTGCAGATTTAGTGATTTGTAGTGGTTACTTGAAATCTCTGTTGGATACCTATTTTAAAAGTATCACTTAAAAACATTGTTCGTGTTTTGACTTTGATTTGGGGGTAATGACGACAGATTCAATAAAAGTCTAGAATAGATAACATAAAAATCATCTGTGTTAGAAGAAACTGTAGCCTACATTATCGTGTATCGCTACTAAAATAAGATGCTTCTAAGGACAAGCCTGCAGGGACATGGTTGTTGATCCTGCAAGTTCAGCAGTGTTTTTTTTAATGTGATTTGGTGTGTCTTCACCCAGAAAAACACACAAAAAAATATATGTAATTAAAGCCACGCTGTAATGTAGGCAGTGGGACAGACTGCTGAGTGAGAAGGTCCCCGCTGGGCGCGAATAACGGCATCGGTGAGCAGATCTTCTCCACCCGAGAAGATGAAGTGAGATTCGGGATGAAACGCGTGTTTCTGGTGCCGAGCGCCAGTTTCCCCAAAATAAAGGGAAATGTGACAGAGTTAGCCTTTGTGACACCAACACAAAATAGCCTAGGTGATCACCGCTCTCGCATGGGATGAATTGAAATATTTCAAAATTTAGAATATTGAATAAGATAATGCTGTATGTTCACACAGCTGTTTTAAATGATATATCTATCTATCTATCTATCATCTAATTATTTGTACTCATTTGGGCTTAACAATAGGCTAGTTATAAAATCCTGTTTTAATTTAGTGTAATTGTAAAATATTTCATAAAATTTGGCCAATTGTTCAAACATGAACAGTCGAAGGCTTTAAATTTGTTTTTGCATTCCAGAATAAAATTATTTCCAACAATAAAATTCCCAAGGAAACTATTCAAGGTACAAACCAAATGGATGCATTAATCATTCCTCAACACAAGGGGGCGGTATCAGTCACAGTCATGTGAATAGGCATCGATGTTGGTAACCGTGGCCCTTTTCATGTGTGCCCTCAAAGATTTTAAACTCTTTTTCTTACCTCTCCCCTCATCCTTCCCTCTTTGTGATGAAGTGTGACAGTGAAGTAGCCTATAGCACTCAAGTGGCGTGGAAACAATCCGTTCGGACAGAGAAGGGGGTCGGCAGAGAGGCAGGATGTTGACAGCCTTGGGGTGCATGATAGATAGATTGATAGATTGATAGATAGATAGATAGATAGATAGATAGATAGATAGATAGATAGATAGATAGATAGATAGATAGATAGACAGACAGACAGACAGACAGATAGATAGAGATAGATAGATGGATATGTGATGAATGATGGATGGATACAAACAAGAATGGATTGATGGATATATTTTGGTTGTGTTTAGCTAGGCTATAGAGCCCATATCTGAAGCCTGTTGGTTTGAGTGGGATCAGCTGCCTCGTCTGCATTAACCAGCTAATAAATATGAAAACAGAGGGTTTAAACTTTTATTCGTTTGCTGCTTGAAAGGATTATACCCCTCTATGGAGTCCCATGTAAATCTCGACACCTCATAATGGCCGATGTTGTCCCATAAAAATGTGTTGAACAAAGGCGTCTGAATGGGGTCTCTTTCACGCATAAGGGGGTTTTCACAGGCCTCCATTGAGTCAGGCCCGACCACACCACGCCCCGCGTTAATCTCTCCGCCGGGGAGAGTGCGGCTCAGAGCGGCAGGTGCGTGTGCCTGGCACGGGGGTCACAGGCCGATGAGGTGGGGGAGCTCGCCATGTCAAATCCTCACAGCTGCCGGTAGGAATTTTCTCAGAGGCTGTCACTTCCATTTAGCTGCTCTTTTTCACCCCTTCAGATGATGTAGTCCCTCTCGTGACCAGGTCCTTGTGAAAACCCTCTGCCACTTAACAAAAGCAAAGCGCCGCTAAACGATGACAGGACCGAACAATGAATTCAACCCGGCTCGCTCTCAGGAGCGTGAAATTGTATATTAAACCGAGAAAGCGATGACGGTGACACCGGCTTTGCGTTTTTCTTCAAGAATGCAAATGTGGAATTGCAACGTTGAACACTTTCGCATCGCGTCTGACCATATTTCCCTCACGTTTGGCCAGAATCAAAGCTTTAAAGCGTGACGACATGAATACCGTGTGTGGCAAGTCGTTTTAACATTTTGTTTCCCTTAAACTGTTATCTATCACAGTTTCACGTCATTAACGATTCTTTTGCTGTCACAATAGTGACAAGAAACTATTCAACTGCAAATGTTTGCTATTGACCTCGATGTAGGCTATCTGATCTGTTCACTTTCTTCTGTCTTTCAATTGTTGCTGGTATTAGTTTGACTAGTTAAATTATAGACACTAGTAGCCTATTCCAATATAGGACCAACCTATTAATATTTTAATTGAACTAAAGTAGCCATTCTAATACATGACAAGTAAACAAAACCTTCTCAACATATTATTCACTTAAAGTCTCCTTGTAGTCAATTTATCCCTATCACCAAAATTACATTTTTTTTAAACCTTGAATATCTTGAATGAAACTTACTCTTGCTTCATTTAGTATACAGTTCTATGAATATGCAAATGAGCCCCACCTCCACTCACTCACTCACTCACTCACCCACGCACTCAGAGACTGGTTGACGATCAGACGTTAATCTGATTATATATAATATATATATATAGGTGTGTTTTTGAGACTGTCTTTGGTTCACTGCAGTTTAAAGGAGGAAATACTCAGCAAATGTTAATTTACTTAACACCACATACGCACATAAACAACATTAAAACCTTGATTCTCACAACAGGGGGACTTTAAAGGAGCTTTATGTAAGATTGTGGCCAAAACTGGTACTGCAATCAGTTTTTAAATTACGGAAGAGTGGTGTATCCGCCCCATTTGTGACTTTCAGTAAACTGAAATAAACATAGTAGAATACACAGGTATTTCAGTTTACTGCAGTTACAGTTACTTTTTTTACTTGCCGTAAGTCAGAATGGATAATAAACCTTACTAGAAAATCTAAAAATATATAAAGAATTTGATTGATATCTAAATCAGTAGATCTCCAAAGTAAAAAAAAAAAAAAGTGTTCAATGGCATAATTAGCAAACAATAGTTTAGGGAAAGTAAAGAGTAAAACATGTCTGTATAGTTTTAATGGTAAAAAAACTGTAAATTATAAAACATAAATTTACAGTGTAATTAACAGTTAAATACTGTAAATAAATGATTATGAAATTGAAAAAGACATAGTATAAGCCATAAATAAAAGAAAATTGTGTAGTTTGTTGTATAGAAATAGATGTGTGATTGCCAACCACACACTCAACTTGTTCTACCACTGATTGAAGTGGGCCTCACACAAAAACCATGAATACTATTAATTTGCTCTGTCTGCCCCCTCATGCACCACATATATTCTTAATCTGAGTTCAAAACACGCCCTGCTCTTAACAAACTACCCTTGGGCTACGAGTCCATAATCCCTGAACTCAGACGAGTCCCTCTGGAGCCCGTCTCCGGCTGAAGATCTCAGAATCAGGACAATAGAGCCAGAATAAACCTTCATTTTATCTGGACGCAGCAGAAATTCTGCCTTTTTTTTTTCTTTCTCAATGTGAACATCTCAAATGATAGGAAACAAAAATATTCGATACTTGCTAATGAGTTCGAACTACACGAAAATGAAATGCCAGCTATTCCAAACTCGGAATAATCCTTCAAACAGCCAGAGGCCTCAATTATAGCATGTATATGAGAGGGAACGCAGCGATGGAAGGAGTTGAGCCAACAACCACCAGACACAAACCAGATGCAGACTAGAACCAGGCTGGTGGTGCCTAAAATAAAGAGAGAGAGAGAGAGAGAGAGAGAGAGAGAGAGAGGTGTACAGATTTACAGAACAGATAATAGATGCGGGGAACGTGGTGCATGATGTATGTCACAGTGTGTGTGAGAGTGTATTAGCAGTCAGAGCGCTGGGCCCCGGAGGCGATTCCTGTGTGTGCTTGCGATAAAGGGGGAACTGGAGGAAGTGAGGGAGGGCGAGAGAGAGAGGGAACTGGAGAAAGATGTGGGTTGGCAGAAGGGTGGGGGAGTCAGAGACAGAGAGAGAAGTTGAAGGGGGAAAACAGAGTGAACAACCAGCAGAGCTCCGAGCTTTTATGATGCTGTCAAGATTCCTGGATTTTGTCCCCATCGGGTTCTCTCTCTCTCTCTCTCTCTGCCCCTTTTCCTCACATGAAAAGAGGGGAAGAGTGTCTTGGCAGGGTAATTAAGAATGGCCTCTAAACACAGAAGTATGGCAGGAACACTCCAGATGAAAGTAAATGATTAAAATAATTACAGGCGCATGAGCTGACGAGCCGGAGTGCGGGGTGGCCGCCGGACATTTGTCGGTAATTAGATAATTAATCTGAATGCAAATGATGAGTCCTAACGAAGCAGTCAGGCTGAACCATGTGACAACTAAAGAGAGAAATACTTTCATCACATGGATAGATGCACTGTTTTCAACGCAAGTCCAACGCTACAGTAACTGTATGTAAGGGTTCCGTCGATTTACGGTTTAATTTGAGTTCGTGACAGCCTTTATCATTAGACAAAAAAATTAAACCCAGATAGCAAACTGACATTGAATCAACGTGGAAATATGACATTGAAACAACGTTGATCTGACATTGTTTTGCTCATCGAATTAACGTTGAACCAACGTCAGATGCGTCATTCTTTCAAAACTAACGCAAAATCAACTTGAAATCAACGCGTTGTTTCAACGTTATGAAAGCAAACCAATTTTCGATTTCATTTAGCTTTGAAGAATGCCGCGTCTGACGTTGGTTCAACGTTAATTCGATGAGCAAATCAACGTTGTTTCAATGTCATGAGAGACGTCGTTTCCACGTTGATTCAATGTCAGTTTGCTATCTGGGAATGGACTGTTAAACATGAAAGTATGCAACTATTTACACCATGTGTAAGTTCATAAGTCGACAGCATTGCTGAGTATTTTCTCCTTAAAACTGCAGTGAAACAAGACAGTCTCAAAAACACGCTTTGAAATCGCTGACGTCACAAACTTGTAACCAATCAGGAGTGTGTTTCCCGCATAACACCGTAACTCGCTGCTTCATCACAAAGCAATGCATCGTTCATTGAACTGCTGATAACGACAGAACTTGCGACTGTAACCCCCTTTTTCTGGTTCATTCTTTCGACCCTCCCGGAAAGGACCACGCGGAGACGAAGTCGAGACGATTCAACACCCATCACGTGTTTACTGGAGATTTGTGAAATAACACCATACAGACTTGAAATACAGCTCATCCAGTCACATAACATTCTCCCCAACAGCTCGCATAAACTTTTCATCAATTCAACAAACAATAAATCACGTTTTTATCGCAATTAAAAGCTCAGTTTCTTTTCTTTCTTTTCTCTAAACACAGAAAACATAACATGCAAACAGTACATACCCAGTCATCCAGTCACATAACTGTCAAAAATAAATATGAAGTAAATTACATCAGATAGCAAATGACATTGAATCAACGTGGAAATATGACATAGAAACAACGTTGATCTGACATTGTTTTGCTCATCGAATTAACGTTGAACCAACGTCAGACGCGTCATTCTTTCAAAACTAACGGAAAATCAACTTGAAATCAACGCGTTGTTTCAACGTTATGAAAGCAAACCAATTTTCGATTTCATTTAGCTTTGAAGAATGCCGCGTCTGACGTTGGTTCAACGTTAATTCGATGAGCAAATCAACGTTGTTTCAATGTCATGAGAGACGTCGTTTCCACGTTGATTCAATGTCAGTTTGCTGTCTGACAACGAAAACCCTGTGCTCATAATGAGCTCGACAATGAGTTTCAGTATAAGATAAATTATTCATAAACTCTATGTCTCTTATGACTCAATTATGAAATAAAATACTTTCAAAAGAACAATTCTGATCTTAAAAGAGAAATAGAGTCATCACTGACAACACTTTATTTCTGTTTGACCGGAGAGATTTTCCACCTACCATTCTCCTCAACAGCTGGCAATAAACTGAAGAGAAAATGGAGGATTTAGCACGTACTCTATTCGCCTGTAGGTGTCCCCATATTCATTTCTTAGATGCACTTGGTACATTATAGAACATGAACAAACATTTTGGCATAATTCATTACAAATTTCTTTTACCCGTTACACGACCATAGTTTTAATGATGGTTTCGGAAAACACTCCTGATGTGTGATCATCAACCAGTGGGTCTCCAGGGGTCTCTGAGCTGAGTGAGTGAGTGAGTGAGTGAGTGGAGGCGGGGCTCATTTGCATATTCATAGAACCACGTATACTAAATGAAGCAAGGGTGTCGAGTTACATTCAAGATATGAAGTTTTTTTTTTTTTACGGAAAAACGTTTAAATATGCAATTTTATTGATCAAAGACGAGTTTTGACTACAGGGGGACTTAAATATTTATGCATTTGAATTGCATACATTTTCCATGCAGTTTGGATTAGATAAACAAACTAATACATTAATATGTCCATAATGTGATATATTTGTCAATCATGCATTACAGAAGCAGGTCATATTTTTATTTATTCATTGAATACTAGAAGAAAAGAAAAGAACAAAAAACATTAACAATCTCAATACTCCAGAGTGAGTCCAAATTAAGTTGAAACAGGTCATATGTAGACAGAGCAGCGTGACGTCACGTGACAGGAATGTGCGAACGCTCTGATGACGTCTGAACTGTGCGCCGCTGTGGAACACATTCAGCTTTTGCTGTGTAATATCTGATAGAGCTGTTCGGCGAGTCAACTTACTGAACAGAGTGTGAAATTAACCCAGTCTGCAATATGGAATACTTGATCGGGATTCAGGGGCCGGACTTTGTTCTGGTTGCGGCAGATAATGTAGCCGCCAGCAGTATAATCCAAATGAAACACGGTGAGTTTGATGTTAATTAGCATGTTAGCTGCACACTCACCGGCCAGACAGCAAGATAACACGTTATTTTTAACTAATAAAAATTGCAGGCCACAATAATTGACCACATTTTACTGTTTATTAACTTCTGTTTTAATTTCATCTGAATGTTTTCACCGCTTCTGAATGTGTGGCGACTGTTAAGAAGGGTTAGCCGAGCTAGCTTCTCTGTGCTAACTCCGTTTGTGCGATGAACTGATTTACATATTGATATATTCAGGTATTAAACTCAGATAGACTACACTTATAACCAGACTACACTTATAACATTTTAATGGGAGCTATAACAAGTCAGTTATTGCTGTGTGATTGTGCTCGAGCGTCAGTGGAGAATGAGTTTGCGATTCACATGTGAAAGTGAAAGTTAGAGCGCCATCATGAAATATATAGCAATGAATACACACACACACACACACACACATATATATATATATATATATATATATATATATATATATATATATGTGTGTGTGTGTGTGTGTGTGTGTGTGTGTGTGTGTGCGCGCGCGTGTGTGCCATAGAATAAAAAAGCTAATGTCAAATGTTCATCTCACAATTCTGACTTTTATTCTCTGAATCCCAAAAGGTTTAGATATAGTACAGTAAAATGACTCATATTTTTTTTCTCTTTAAAAACCTTCATAACCTTCCATACATCATACCTCTTATGAAAATGATGACTTTTGGCAGATATATACAGTGAAAATGTACAGGCTTTTCTTTTGGAAAAACGGATCTTGTATAATAAAATGGCCTTAAGAAGAACAGCAGTTTCCCTTGCTCTAATATCACCTACTTCTAACACACTTTCAAGTAGAAAATAACTTTCTTTATTGTAAACTAAAGGCTATTTTTATTTTATAGCAACAGGATTATGATAATGTCTTTACAGGTGGCTATAAATGTCCAAGACCACAAATGCCTGAAACTCAGATTGTTGAGAATCGGTGATGTTTACATGCGCTGTTACGTCTGATCATCAGATTATGACAAGATGTTCAAGCTGAGTGAGAAAATCCTGCTCCTGTGTGTGGGTGAAGCCGGAGACACTGTACAGTTCGCAGAATACATTCAGAAAAATGTCCAGCTCTACAAAATGAGAAATGGTAAACATTCATTTTTATTTTGTACTTGTACTTATATAGAGCATCAGACTAGTACAGATTGAAATTAACTTTATTTCTACCAGAAATTCATGTCAAAAACAACATTATTGACATGAATTTCTGGAAAAAAAAAAAAAAAGTTAATTTCATAATATTCCCATGCATAATATGAATATTGAATGCGATCTCTGATTCTCTTCATTAATCTGGCTCTTTCTCCAGGATACGAGCTCAGCCCGGCCGCGGCTGCAAACTTCACGAGGAAAAACCTGGCAGACTATCTGCGGAGTCGGGTGCGTTTCATATCTAATATTCATCCATAAATAGATATATCACACATAATGTAGACCCGTGACTCCCAAACTGGGATACACCTAGAATGGACAAACCTTGAGTTGCTTGTAGTATGAACAAACATTACAAAAGTGGAGTTTTTTTTAAAGCTGATGTGTGTAGAAATACATTCAAAGAAACCTGTTTGAAAACATTTATCATATTTGGAATTTCCTTTGGTGATGGATTTATTAGATCATTTAGACATTAAAAAGATAAATTGTAAAATGATGTATTTTGAAAAGTAATTTATTCCTGTCATGGCAAAGCTGTTTTTTTTTGTCACATGATTCTTTAGGAATCATCCTAATATGTTGAAGAAACTGTTATTCTTACTGTATAATATGTTGAAAATATTTTTGGAAGTGTTTTTTAGGATTCTTTTATAGAAAGTTCAAAAGAACCACATTTATTTGAAAAATAATGTTTTGTAACATTATAAAATATAAATGTTTTTATTGTCACTTTTGATCAAATTAATGCATCCTTGCTGAATAATTCTTTAAAATAAAGTACTATATATATATATATATATATATATATACACACACACACACACACACACATATATATATATTACGTTGGCCGAGAGAGCTCACCGCGCTGCAACCTGATGAAGACACATGCGAATAGAGAAAAACTCATGCAAATACAAAAAAATGTATACAAACAGAAAAAAACACCCGCAAATTAAGAAAATCTTCATCAGTCTCACAACATACGTGCTCGAAATACTCACAACACCACCAAATACAGAAACGCGCTGCAAAAGCTCACAACACAACCAAATTACAGAAACGCGCTGCAAACGTTCACAACACCACCAAATACAGAAACGCGCTGCAAGTAACACGGTCCACAACAGAAATGTTCCCGGGGAACCAAATAAGTGACGGACCCGACTGGGACGTGCTCATTGCATACACAGGACGTGCTTACAGCAAAAATCCTTTATTGACAAGAAGTCAAAGCCTATTTTTTTTTTTTCAAATAAACTATACTATTAAAATAATATTGTATATATAAATAATGTTCAATGTCATCACAATACAAATGAGAAAAGAACAATGATCTGAAAACTAAACTAACTAAATAAAAAAGATACAGAAGACGAACATGAAGGCAAGATATTAATCTATACATCAGTTAGTGGTTCCCAAAGTGGGTGCCGCAGAATCTCAGCATTATTTTCCATTGTGAACAGCCTAAAATAAATATCGTACCATAGGCTATATAATAACCTTTTACAGCATATTTTAAAATAATGTCAAAACACCAAACATATGCATATCCAAACGAAAATGAATAAGTGAAAAAAATACTATTGTTTCATACATTTAAAGTTGAAATGTTTATTTACCGCTAATTTGGACTGTTGCCGGGAGGGAATCGTCCCGCTCGCTCCGCCCTTTGTAATGGGCTCAATTTTATATTTCACGCAAATTGACAGTACAGGACATATGGATACATTTATAGGTTTAAACAAAAGAAAAGCAGAGATGTCACAGCCCAGAAGACCGACGGTCTTTTCTTTAAAAAAGAAAAACAATGACAGTCTCTCTTTACTTCACTTTACATAAATAGCCTACTTGTTTTTCTAAAACATAAAAGAAAAGACTGTCTTTCTTGGCTTCACTTAACACGTGTTTTTCTAAAACATAAAATAAAAGACCGTCTTTCTTGACCTGACTCGCCATCATTTCAGTAGTGAATGCGCCAGAGAGAAATGCACATTTTCTGTTTAAAAGTACACATTTCAAGCTTTCTATAGATGTATATTTCTCTGGTGTGTGAGGCAAATAGACCTACCTTATACACTGTGTTTCGGTTAATTTATGACTCACGAGATGAGCTCCAGGCGTCGGCGCCGTGTCCTGATTTTCTATTGTCCGTTATATATTTACTTCTTATTTATTAAAGGCAATTGGTCGATGAAACATTTATTATAATTAAGATACAATTAATACATAAACGAAATTCACCTTAATGAAAAGATATGCTTTATGTTTGATGTGAAAGTTTTAAAGCAGTCTTTCAGTGCCGCTATCAGAGTGGTCAAGTCTGTAACGGGAACTGTCACGTAACATGATTCATCCATCATAATATATACATACTCGAAAAATAAGACAAAATGAATATTTTATGTTCTGTGGAGATGAGCCAACTCTTCTTTCCAGTGGGTAGTATTACTTTTTGTACTTTTGCCACCTAAGTGAAACTTTTTTTGAGTGTCACATTTGTAACTGATTTTTTTTTTTCTTAAATATAAACGCGTGTGGACTGATATTTTTCAAATGTCTAAAGGGGGTATGGTTAAGACGTTTCAATATACTGGTACCATACGTATTAAATGCATTTTCTGAGAATTTACATTTAGAAGTTTTTTTGTTTTGTTTTGTTGTTTTTTTTAACCTCATGTCACGTCCACGCTGGAATTGGCCATTTTTAAAGAATTTATCCTCAACTAGTTTTATGGAGTAGGTCTACGTATTTTTATAATGTTAACTTAAAATAATACTTTAGTAATTTAAAGATGTGGCATTAGATCTGGACGGGAAGGATCTTGAGTTGGGGTGTGTTGATTTTGCCATCTCGCATACATTTCTGTTTCATATCGCATGTCAGACAGCCATCATTTCTACCAAAGAAATAAATGACAAAAATAGTAATGCACAGTAAATTGGATAAGTCACTTTAATCTGATTTCTGGGTTGGAAGTAGTAACGCGTTAGATTACTTGTTACTGAAAAAAAGTGTTCAGAGGAATGTGTTACCGGCATCAATTGTATATTTATGTACGTAGGCCTATGTTTGTTTAGTTTAATTGGGTTGGGGTGCCGTGGAAAAAATAAAACTACAAAGGGTGCCCTGCTTTCAAAAAGTTTGGGAACCACTGAATGGTTACACCATTCAAATAGTTTCATTTTGTTTAAATTTTCATAAGAAAAATGTTAGGTAATGTATGGCACATACAGATATAAAACAGATATTTTAACAGATTTTTGTAAAGTAAAAATAAAAATGTATTTGCAACAATTATGTTAATCATATTTCTGTTCTCAGAACAGCTATACAGCTGATGGACAAAGTGCTGCGTTGTCATAGGAACATCCTTGGTAAAAATAATTACATTACGTTGTCTATTGTTGCTCCCTTCATCAAGTTCCAAACGGCTACATAAATGACACACTAGTGCCATGCTTACGCCAAAGTCCCACTTGAAGAGCTCTGCCGTCTGCCCTTTGAAGGGAGTAGGGCATAGGGAAGCTCACGAGCATTAAGCAAGTCCCAGTTGGGTACGTCACTAATTTGGTTCCCCGGAAACATTTCCGTTGTGGTCTGTGTTACTTGCAGCGTTTCTGTATTTGGTTTTGTTGTCAGCTTTTGCAGCTCGTTTTGTGTATTTGGTTGTGTTGTGAGTACTTGGAGCACACGTGTGTTGTGGAACTGATGAAGATGTTTTTCTTAATTTGCGGATGTTTTTTTGTATTTGCATACGTTTTTATATTTGCACACGCTTTTTTAGGTTGCAACACGTTGAACTCTCTCGGCCACCGTAATATATATATATACACTGTGTGCAGAATTATTAGGCAAGTGAGTATTTTGACCATATCATCATGTTTATGCATTTTTTCCAACTCCTAGCTGTATAAACTTGAATGCTTATTGGATTTAAGCATTTCAGGTGATGTGTTTTTGTGTAATGAGGGAGGGTGTGGCCTAATGAGAAAAAACACCCTTTATCAGGTGTGCATAATTATTAGGCAGCTTCTTTTCCTCAGGCAAAATGGGCCAAAAAAGGGATTTAACTGACTTAGAAAAGTCAAAAATTGTAAAAAGTCTTTCAGAGGGATGCAGTACTCTAGAAATTGCTAAGATATTGGGGCGTGATCACAGAACTATCAAACGTTTTGTAGCAAAACCTCAACAGAGTCGCAAGAAACGTGCTGAGAAAAAAAAACGCAAATTAACTTCCAAAGATTTGAGAAGAATCAAACGTGAAGTGACCAGGAACCCATTATCCTCCAGTGCAGTCATATTTCAGAACTGCAACCTACCTGGAGTGCCCAGAAGTACAAGGTGTTTAGTGCTCAGAGACATGGCCAAGGTAAGGAAGGCTGAAATCCGACCTCCACTGAACAAGAAACATAAGTTGAAACGTCAAGACTGGGCCAGGAAATATCTGAAGACAGATTTTTCAAAGGTTTTATGGACTGATTGAGATGAGAGTGACTCTAGACGGACCAGATGGATGGGCCCGTGGCTGGATCAGTAATGGGCACAGAGCTCCACTTCGACTCAGGCGACAGCAAGGTGGAGGTGGGGTAATGGTATGGGCTGGTATTATTAAAGATGAGCTAGTTGGACCTTTTCGGTTTAAAAATGGACTCAAAATAAACTCCCAAACCTACTGCCAGTTTTTAGAAGATACTTTCTTCAAGCAGTGGTACAAGAAAAAGTCTGCATCTTTCAAGAAGTCCATGATTTTTATGCAGGACAATGCTCCATCGCATGCATCAAAGTACTCCACTGCGTGGCTAGCCAGTAAAGGCCTTAAAGATGAAAGAATTATGACATGGCCCCCTTCGTCACCTGATTTAAACCCTATTGAGAACTTGTGGGCCCTTCTTAAACGGGAGATTTACAGTGAAGGGAAACAGTACACCTCTCTGAACAGTGTATGGGAGGCTGTGGTGGCTGCTGCACAAAAAGTTGATCATCAACAGATCAAGAAACTGACAGACTCCATGAATGGAAGGCTTGTAACTGTTATTGAAAAGAAGGGTGGCTATATTGGTCACTGATCTTTTTTTTAAAATGTTAGAAATGTTTATTTGTAAACTGAGTGGTTTGTTTCTGTAATTCTCACTTTAACAGATTAAAATAAACTGCTGTTTATTTTAAAAAAAGTGAGAAGGGAACATTTTCATTTTGCTGCGTAATAATTCTGCACACT